ACAAAAAAACTATTTATATAGATAATAGAATTATAAATAAAATTATAAATAAAGAAATATGCAAAGAACTGAGTCCAGCCGGTTTCTGTGGAGATTTGATCCCAGCCGGTAGAGTAGATGCATTCGAGAATAGGCTCTCTCTGAATCTTATATTCGCGCGCAAAAAAAGGGATATCGGTACAAGTATACTATTTACATACCACAAATGTAATAGCGTTTAAATAATAACATGAGTTAGAGTTTCATAAACTGATTCAAAAGCAATTTTATTAGGAAGGAAAACATGAAATAATCTGTCGCATAGAAATTAAGATTAACAACAATGTAAGTGCTTACAGACTAGTGATCTTACAAAATAAAAAGCTAACAGGTAATAAGAACTACAAGATGTGCACGTTACCTGAAAAGATTAGATTAGATTAGATTAGACTTTATTAGAACTTGAGGGTAGCACCCCGTGTCGCTACAATAGAAAAATACAGGCAAAGACAGAAACGCAATGAAAACAATTGAATAAAGATACATAAGAGCCAATCTCAAAGAACATATATGTAAAATAACAGCAGATGACATATACAAATAGCTAAAAACACGAGTATGAAAAATCGCAGTAAAGATAAGTCGAGATACAATAACGCTGGTGGGAACAGGAACATGATACATAAATTACGCGACGTGGCTACTGGAATAAAGTATTGGTCAAGGGCACTGGACAAGGCGAGGAGATAGGTAAAGGACCCAGAATCCAGTGAGTCAAAGCTAGAGTTTGGCCCTGATGTGGCTAGGAACGTTTAGATAGTCGGTCTTGTGTGTGAATGCGGCAACGTTGAAGGGCCGATAAACTGCTGGGAGAAACTGCATTGCTTCGCTGTTTAATAAACCCTCATTGGGTATTTCGGACTCCAGCTTTAGGGTCACGTGTATTGGGTCTTCTTCCTTCTGTTTCAAGACATTAATTTATCAAATTCTTCACCATAATATTCGTATGACCTTTATGAAGAAAAAAATTATTAAAAAATATTTTAAGCTTCTTTATATTTCAATTTCAATGTTTCGAGAAATGTATAGAAGAGATGATATTGTCGTAGATAGAGGTAAAAAATCATAAAAAATTACTCAAGTGCTTTTTTAAATTTTTAATTTTTAATTTCTATTGAAATTTGAAAATTAATGAATCGGAGATATAATGAAATACATAATAAAATATCTTATGCTCTTTAGAATAAGGGAAATTTAGAAACTAGAACGGTATCTATTTTTACATTCATAGAAGAGTTTCAAAAACATACCATCAAAATTATTTCTCATTTAAGAATGAAGGAAGTACAAACATTAAAAATAAAAACAGAAAAATAAAAGCATCCAAAAACTCTCAACTTCTGTTAATGCACGTAGATTTCGCTGAGAATCGGGCATTAATTTAAAAAAATCCCGTTCAAGGTAACCACTAGGTAAACAAGCAAGTTTCTATTTTCACTGTAATGTGCTATGTAGAAAATATGTGAAGACTTTTGGTGTTGTCAGCGATGATCTAAAATATGATTATGCCGATGCTTTGTTATAGTAACGCCAAAAATTGAAAATGTTGAAAGCGCACTCAATAAATGCGATATCAAGCTTGAATCAACCATTATTTTATCCGATGGTGCTGCAAGTTATTTCAAAAATCGGTACCAGTTACATGAATTTTAAAAAGCAACAGTAAATAAAAAATGGATATTTTCTGAAACCGGCCATGGAAAAGGTGTCGTTGATGGTTTAGGAGGCTTGGTAGAATATTATGCAAAGGTATATAATTTACGCTCTTCTGATATTGACACTATACAATGTGTAGAAAACTATTCAGCTTGTTCAGAAATATACTACGTCAATACAGTTAATACATATGACATCAGAAGAAATCGAAAATTTTCATAACACTAAAATAGAAAAGAGAAATATTTCAATGAAATTTGATGGTATCTAGCAATGCCATATGTTGAAGTCTGAGCCATCCGAAGGAGAGACCAAATGTTTTATTGCTCTAGAACTACTGTACATCAATGGGTTGGAGTAGAGAAGAATATAAAGAAAATGACTACAAGGAGACGTAAGATAAAGAAAATTTCAACAAAAAGAGGAAAGAATAATAAATTACGGCAGTACAAGACAAAAGTTATTAAATCACAAGAAAAAAACCAAAGCGAACAAAAAGTAAAGAAAAAATAAAAATGCTATTTATTAAAAAATAAAAGTAATGATATTATTTTTTTTTACTTCAAACCCTTTTTTATTTATAGAACTTTACATGTTTCATGACGTTCAGTGAAAAAAATTCTTTTTATTTTTTCTCTCCATAACAAAGCAAAAATCGGAAATTAGACTGATATACTTTTAATAATATTGACACAATGAATCAATAAAAAAATATAGGCAAAAAAATGGCCTTTTTGAGATATATCGAAGTTTTGATGAGATGCACTTTTTCGACAAAGTGCACAATCTTTGAAAAAATGCATTATTGCACATTTTTGAGCATGTAGATTTGAAGGAATATGGTATAATATCATTTCTCTATAATATGGTAAAGGTTTTATCTGATTGCGACTAATAACAAACGAACTGCTGAGTTGAAATTTATTTTTTTAAATTTACTTCTCATCTGTTTTAGAAGTACATTATTAATGCAACTATGCGTTTGAGGGAAAAAGAAAACAACACGTGTCGCTTTATTTTTGGTATAGAATCGTAAAAAAATGGTTTGGTGTAGTTCGCTCGTGGGTACCCATGGAGCTCTTATAATCTCAGAGTCGGCTTATATTCGTTTCAAAGGAGACCGCACTTTTGCTGATAGTGATTCTCGTTCTGGCTGACCTTCGACGACGCAAACATTGGATAATATTGAGCGGGTGCGATTTGTGATCGAACAAGATCGTCGTATGACTGTGCGAGAACTAGGAAAAGACTTTGGAATACCAAAAATTATAATATGGAAATTTTTAACATCAAATTTACAAATGACACGCGTGTGTGCGAATTTCAAAATTGTTTAGTGCAGAGCAAAAAAAATTTCGCTAAGAAATCGATCAAGACAACTTAATAATGGTCGGAGCGATGTTAAGTCAACGTTGATTGTTTATTCCGATTGAGAAGGTATTGTACCGACAGGTCAGACAATCAATGAAGAATATTACGTTCAAATTTTCAAAACGTTTGGGTAAAATAGTGAGAAGAAAACGTCTTCATTTTTGGTCAAGTGGTGATTGGCTTCTTTCTGGGTAAACAGTATCGCAGTGCTTCGACGATCTCCGTACAGTGCCGACATAGTCCCCTGTGACTTTTGGTTGATTCCAAAACTCAAGAAACCACTTCAAGGGCAGCGATTCGATGACAAAACGATGGATGAAAATAATGCGACGAGCGTACTCAAGGCAATCACTAAAAGTGAGTTTCAGGACTGTTTCGAGAAGTGGAAACATCGCTGGAACCGTGTTATTCAATCAAATAAGCATTATTTTGAAGGATACCACCTGCTCAATGATGAACAATAACACCAGCGTGGAGATTTAAAGGTGTTTCCGATACTTTCCGGACAAACTTCGTAATGTCGTCTATACTTACATTTTGTTAAGTTCTTATTTCTTATTTCTCTTTTCGAATAAAATTAATATACACGATTCTGTTTTTCTTTTGTAATGTAAGATAAAATAAAAACATTTATATGCGGAATACTTTTCTAACAGGCACAGTAACTCTAAGACTGTTATTTAGATTTTCATTTTTTTATGTTTGCGCATATTTTTCAAATGGTTCCACCGATTTTGATGAAGGTGAATTTATTCAAAATATGTTTCTGAGATTGTCCCATTATTGATTTGATTGAAGTATAATTTTGTGTAATTGCAAAAAAATAATTACCAAAAATATATCAAGTCGCTTTTCTTTCGAATTTTTTAAAATAAAATTGCTCCTTTTTTGATGGATATGATTACAGAAATGACAAATTTGTTTATTCATGAAAATACAAGATAGAACGACAACGGAGTGCGAAGGATTTAATTGTGGCATATTCATTACGATGAAGTAGCATCGTAGTTAATGTATACCAAAAAGAAAACCAGACGCATGAAGAATCATAATAAAACGTTGTGCAGCTGGTTAGGCTGTGCGCACACTAACGATTAAGTAATCTAAGCGAGGACAAGCGAGATGGTACTCACTTACAGTACACTCGGTATTTTATGCAATGAAAGTAAACCGACTTTCTATTCCTGATATACTTTATCGTTTGCTACTCTTTTAAATTTTTAAACAATAGACCATCAACTTTGGCAGCTTGCAGTCCCGCGGTTCATTAATAAATCTTGACTACATTACCATGTCTAAAAGTCTTTTGTTGTTTTCAGCCAACTTTTAGAATAGTTATCTAAATGAATACTTTAAACTGTTTACTGCGTACTGCATAGAGTGTTCTGTGTCAACTTAGTCAACGACATCTCCACTCCAAAGACACTCTTAAACTTAGCCAGATTTTTCTCACTACATTGGGAACAATCAACAAACAAGTCTAATAATACATGAAAGTTGACTTAGTTAGGTTCTTCGGAGTAACGATCCTACTGCATATTGTCAGTTGCGGTCTACCGACAAGAAGTAAAGCACTAAAATAAAATGATCTATAATCCCAATACTCGAGTAATAATGACTTTATATAAAAGTTAATTTAATTGGTTTTAACTGTACTATTGATTACAATGACGATCAAACAAAAACTGATCAACCTGAGGACAAACCACAGGATTATTAGCTTGGTAACTTCCTAATTTTTTTTTAACGTTCAACCGTCCAGCATATAACACGATAACCGCTCTGTCGGAGAAAATATTTGAAGTATCCACTACATATTTCAAGCATTTACATACATTTACATACATTTTAAGTTGTACATGCTAAAAAATACAGCTGTTGCTCGATGTAAGATTGTAGAAATGTTATCTAAATAGCGATGATTTGTGTTACAGAAAAGTATGCAAGAGCTGTCGGTGTCCGCGGGAAGAGCACCAGCGCAGCCCGTCGGAAGCTGGAGGAGTGGTGCCGGTCGGCAGTCCGAGCCTGGTGGCGGGCACGAGAATGGGCATGGCCATGGCCTCGAGTCCGGGCACGCTGAGCTCGCCCTCGCCTGGCCAACAGCCCGTTGGCCAGCAGATAGGCCAGCCGCAGCAGCAACAGCAGCAACAGCAGCAGCAGCAGCAGCAGCAGCAGCAGCAGCAGCCGAGGCCCGACAGCTTCGAGAGCCCCGTGCAGCCAATGCCTCTCGGTGGCATTCCACCCGTCGTCCAGGACGCTCTCAATCAGCAGCATCATCACGCCCAACGACACTCGCAGAGCGACGACGACAGCGGATGCGCCCTCGAGGAGTACACTTGGGTACCACCTGGGCTGAGGCCTGATCAGGTCAGTGCTTTATTTGCCTCTTTCAGCAATTGTTGCTTTAGTTATTTTTTCTTGAATTGCACGCGGGCGGACTTTATTGTTCATAAAAAGCCTCGCGTCAAATTTATAAACAGAAGTAATTTGACGTTTAACGGTGTGTGCACACACTTTCCCCGCGATTACGCGCGTTGGTAATCACCGGTCATTTGACAGATATTGTTTAGTACTTGAGTAGGAAAAACGTACGAGGAAAGAAAGATCACGCATAACGGGATATCGGCAATAATTCATTAAACCGCTAACAATTTCCGAGATTCAATTTATGTACGTTTCTTTTCTTTTTTCGTGCAACCTCAGCGCCTCGATGTTGAGCTGAAAAAATAAGCGTATAGCGAGCGGAATAGAAAATCATCTGATATGCATCAGTAGGCCGTCGGGGGGAAACTAATGTGAAGTTCGTGAGCAGCTTACGCATTGAACAGCTAGTTCTTTCTGCATTGAACAGCCTTTCTCACCGGAACATCAAGCTTGTAAGCAAAATGATAATTGCAGCGTTCTAAAATGCGATCCGAGCGAGTTACACGTCAATGACGAATACAAACTACGCAGACTTCAATATATCTGCTGAGAATATCTTGCTATGAATTTATATCTTCAAAGTGACTTTGTTAGGATAAAATATGAAGAATTGATGTGAGCCGTGGTAGAATAGCATTAAAAGAGACGGGCCATTTTGTTCGAAAGTCAAATTATCGACTACCAGTTCTGAGGTAGTCCGTGTAGGAATATGCAGAAGGCAGCGCACAAAAGGCAAGATAGCCGACTCGTAATAAGTCGCGCGAAGGTTAGCCTCGGGCAAAGCGTTCGAAATTGGCTTGTATCACGAACATCATAATCAGGCCAACTAACCGAGAATTGTGCGACGGGTTCCGCGAGCAAGCTCCAATTTCTCAGTACTCGTTCGGGTGCAACGAGCGGTAAAGAAGCGCAGCAGCAGCGAAGCTCCGCGAGACAGAGGCAGCATGCCGTGGCCACGTGCATGCACGAGGCGACGGACGGAGTGACAGGCGTCGAATTGACGCGAAAGGGGAGTGCGCGGATATGGTGGGGCTGGGCGCTCGAGGCCTCGCGAGAGCGACGTGTCGGAATGGGAAAATGGGCAAGAAGCCGAGGATGGAACGCGCGTGTTTGTTCACTTGATCTTTTTGCGGGCGCACTGTGACGAGGCTGGGGAGCCGAGCGTGGCTAGTTCCGCACCGGCGTAATTATACGGACGGAGCTATTCGTAATCGAGACACGCAGTGACTTTGGGCTTTGTTTTGGTGGCCGGTGCCCCTTCGCGCTCGCGCCGAGCCAGAGAGGGCCAGCGAACTCGACCGATTCGCGATTGCGGGGATCGCGGCCCATCGTCGAGATTGCCATCTGCGCCGGCTTGAAAAGTTTCAACGATGACGGTTGGCGATCAACGGCAGTCGGGTGGGCCGCCTTCCTGGCACCTGCGCCACTCGCTGCTCCGCGTCGCGCGCACCGGAAGAAGCGCTACCGCGAGGCTGTGCCCTCGACAGCCGACTCGCGCGCCGCGCCACGTCGCGGCACGTCGCGGCCACGACCGCGACTGCGAGTTATTGCTGCCGCTGCGCGATGCCTAATGATTCCGAGCGCACTCTCGTCGGGCTTTGTCAGGTGTGGTCGCCTGCAGCGACTCGCGCCAACGTTATTCCGCGAGCTTCCGGTATGCGCGCGCCTTCCGTGCTCATCTCTGTCGCGTTAATGAAGCCGCCCTTCCGTGCGTCATACAGCTAATTGAATTTCTCGGAGAGAAACGTCAATGACCGCTGATTAATTTAGATCTTATTTTGTGTTCTCTTCCATCTGTCCGCTAGATTAGTACCGATGTGCTTGGAAGCTCGCAAGTAATGAATAAACAAGTAGAATCGAGTGGCTAACGCGCGTTTTCGTTGCAGGTGCACCTGTATTTCAGCGGATTACCCGAGGACAAGATCCCGTACGTGGGCAGCGTGGGCGAGCGGGAGCGCGTGAGGCAGTTGCTTCAGCAGTTGCCGCCCCACGACAACGAGGCCCGCTACTGCAGTGGCCTCACCGAGGAGGAAAAGCGCGAGCTGCGCGTGTTCGCCGGCCAGCGAAAGCGCGAGGCACTCGGCAGAGGCCAAGCCAACCAGGTACGAACGCCTCCGACCATTCTCCGCAGATTGGATTTCCGACGCTATCCAGCCACGAAAACGATCCTTTAACTTAGTCCTTTGATCTTCGGCTTACGACATCTCAGGCGTGTCGCCTGTGCGCAACGGCTTCGCGACTCTTGCGCTAAAAATCCCACCGAAAATCTTTTTATTCCTAGTGAAGGCTTAATAAACTCTCATTTTTCATGATTTACTTTGACTCCAGAAAATTAATATTGCACGAGTTTTTAAGAAATGTTATCAGGGTCGTCGATAATCCTTTTTTTCCACCTTTCGTATGAAGAGTATAAAGTGAGAGTCAGCGTAAGCTTGGCGTCGCACGTATAATCCGTTGATAAGCCGCCAGTCGTTTTTTTCTTGGTCCGCGAGAGCTATTACATAAATTATTCATTGTCTTTGTAAGGCTACTGAGATTTGTCTGATCTATAGCTGCAGAAAAATCAAGCTTGCTAATGTACTTTTGAAATATCGCGTAAGAATTGGCTTTCTTTGATCTTTGGGTATGAAGAGGTAGTGCGAGTGGTCGAGGAGGGTCTGTATTCGTTAAAAAAAGGCTCGGAAACCACGGGTGTGAGTGGAAGGGGTCGAGCACTGCGATGGCATTTTCTCGCATCGAAGTAAAAAGGCGGCCGGCATACTCGGGATCAGGTTGCTCGTCGAGTTATCGGCCGCTGGCTGCGTGCGACGTAATTTGCCGCGGAGCCAGCTCTGGATGGCTTCGTTCGCTAACAACGCATTGTTGTGCAACGTTACAGGTGGAGAGGGTTCACGGCAGTGGCTGCCGGGAGTGCGGGCGGACGATAGCCCAGGGCGAGATCGCGGTGGGCGCGCACCGAGCCGGGCCGGCGTCGCTGTGGCACCCCGGCTGCTTCGTGTGCTGCGTGTGCCAGCAACTGCTCGTCGACCTGATTTACTTCTGGCGAGACGGCCGGCTCTACTGCGGCCGCCACCACGCCGAGACGCTCAAGCCGCGCTGCTGCGCCTGCGACGAGATCATACTCGCCGACGAGTGCACCGAGGCCGAGGGCCGAGCATGGCACATGCGACACTTCGCCTGCCTCGAGTGCGACAGACAGGTCAGCTCTCGCTAATTGTCTCCTCGACTATCCCTCTACCGCGACGCTCTTCCTTATTCCTATTGCGCGTTCATGTATGCTCCTCGTTGTTCTTCCACTGGGGAAAAATCATGCCGCACTTTTTTTGCCTATCGTCCAACTCCGGACGACAATTCCACGTCATCAATATAATTCGGTGCTGCGTTTGCAGACAAACGATCAAACATTCATTTAATCATTCCGAGATATTTCGCAATACAATGCAAGTGTGCATGTGTACTCGTTCGTTGGTTTACTAATCGAATGCGCTTCCACTAATTGGCCAGTTTCTTTTTCGTAAGTTGACAATGCTCTAATTAGCGTTTGTTACGTGCAACGTAATGATTTGAGCGAGTCAAATCATCCGTCTGGCAACTGCAATTCTTTTGAAGGTAACGGTAGTCGAAGAAAAAAAATGATAAATCCGCGCATTTGTCCATGTAACTGTCATCGTTAGGGATGTAAGCTTTCAATAAGCGTTACCACCTACGCAGCACCGCGTAAAAGCCATGGCTAGAAGATGGGACACGAGGCACGGTCGCGATTAGCTTTGCGATAGTGTTGAATTCTTTTTCTTGGGGCTGCTCGACGCTTAGCGCTTCCATTGCTTCCTACCGTCTTTGGCGATTACGCAACAGCGACGACTGATTGCGGTGCTCCGCGACTGGCAAAAAATCTATCCGAGCAAAATTTATGGGGCTTGCACGCCTTGAATTCTTATCGTTGAATCGCGTCGTGCCACGTCCGGGAATCCAGCTTGCAATTGATTTGGTCGTCGCTTAGGCTCGGCGTAAAAAGCGCCGAGGACCGGCAGTGCCGCAAGCGTCTCCATGTTTGTCATGAAACCAATTGTTTTTGTCCGTTCGTCGCAGTGTCGCATTTTTCGCAAACGTTCGATCCGATTCGCTTTTAATTGCTTTCAACGCCGAAGATACGGGACGAAGAAACGGAGTAGGAAAGGATGGATGAGTGTGTCGGAGCAGAAAAAAATGACTCGGGTCGCTTAATACGACTCCGGTGGATGGGTCAATCGCGAGTATCGATAGTCCGCGCGCGCAGAATGCATTATTAATCGAGGCTGCTCGCGAGCGAGTGCAGTATCGAGAAGCTGGCCAAAGGAAGAGTACGAGAGAGGAGAGGAGAAGCGCGCGCGCGCGCGCGCGGAGTGGAGCTACAGCGCGCCTTTACGACTCGCCGCGGCGATCTTTATCTTTGCCGCTAGCTCGGGCATCTCTCCCCGTGGCTGATTTACGATTCTTTTCTTCGCTTTTTTTCTCTTTTTTTTTTCCTCTTCATTCGTCCATCTGTCTCTGCTTTCGTCCCGCGGCTGCGCCACTCTCGCGGTCGACGCTGTCGTTTCCTTTTGTGCTTTCAGGATTCTCGAGACTCGCGCGAGCGTGCGCCTGCGCCTGCACGCCTACCACTCTTATGATGGATTACCGGCTCTTTCGCAGCTTTTCTTAAATGACGCGATGAGCGCGTCGATAAACCACTCTACGAGCTCCTTCTTCCCCTTGCTCTTTTTCTTGCGCTGCACTGCTACTGCCGCCGCCGCCGCCGCACTTGAGCACTCTATCGTGTGTCTCGTGTGTCACGAGAGCCGCTTTCTCCCCGTTTCGACGCTCATTTCTCGCTCGGATCTACAAATCTATCGCGCGCCAGCTACATTAATCTGGCGCGGTGCGCAAACAAAAACAAACGGGTTTTTTTGGCTTTCGCGACTCATCGCGACAGGTCGCAGCAATTTAGATTAAGGGTAAATTCAATTTTCCGCTGTGTCGGCCGCGTAGAAAAGCCGATCACGTAGAGCGGTGTTCGGCGAAAAACTATTTTTGCCGGCGCCCGGTCGACCAAAAAGCCACAAAAGGACGGGCGGCGAACGCGCTGCGTTTGGTATAACGAGGCATTGAAACTGGAGTGGCAGAGCCGCGGGAGCAGATTCGAGGCGAGCGAAATAAGAGGGCACGCTCAGCAAAGCGAAACGAACGTTGCAGTTGGGCGGCCAGAGGTACGTGATGCGGGAGGGCAGGCCGTACTGCCTGCACTGCTTCGACGCGTCGTTCGCCGAGTACTGCGACAGCTGCAGCGAGCCGATCGGCGTGGACCAAGGTCAGATGTCGCACGAGGGCCAGCATTGGCACGCCACCGACTGCTGCTTCTGCTGCGCGACCTGCCGAACGTCCCTCCTTGGCAGACCTTTCCTGCCGAGGCGCGGGGCCATCTACTGCAGCATCGCCTGCAGCAAGGGCGAGCTGCCCACCACGCCTAGCGATTCCTCGGTCGGACCGACCAACGGACCGCCACCCTCTTTTACCAGGTCAGTTAGCCTGCCGTGTCTTCAACGTTCTTCAATTTAATCAGCCGCGAATTTGTTTATCATTCTGTCTTCTGGCTTCCAGCCGGAATCAAGTAAGTCTGAATTTTATGAATGTCGAACTAACATGCAATCCTTACTCTTTGAGTGTTTCTTTTTAACAACCAAGCCAGGTCTCCAGATATCACGATGTATAATCGGAAGAGTCGCTTTTCCTCCAAAATTTCTTCGAATCGGTTCACAGTTCCAATCAATATACATGACAAATACATTGTTATTTACTATTCTCGTAAATTTTGAAGACGTGACAAGAAAGCTTTCGATTTATATAAAATTTATAAAGTCGCTTTAAAATCATCAAATTAAATTCATTATAAAGTAATTACTGTTGTAATATCGTTAGAATATTTGTCGTCATTTTCGTTGAGAATGCCAAAGAAACGCGTAGGCGTAAAATTGAGTGAAATGCACAAACGTTCATTCGAGATAAAAAATATCGATCTATGTAACGTCTTGGAAAATTTGTACTGTTATTATTCATACTTGAAGAACTGCGTTCACGAAAGACTTTTCAAAAAGTAAAACTAAATATGTCATAGTTTTAAAGCTCAATAGTGTCTTTCCGTAATCGAAGTTCATTCACGAGCAATTATTTATTTATTTATTTAAGAATTTTTTTTAACGACTAAAGCGAGAATTAAACGCAATAAATTTTTAAATGCTAGACGATAACAACAAATTAACAAGCAATATTAAAAAATATAGAAAAACACTATCATGTCAGACGCGTAAAACAGCAGAGACTGGAACAGTTACGATCTATAGTATTTGCCGCTGTAGGGCGCGTAAGCTGCTTACAAATTTCGAGCATTTCGAACGAGTCTCGAGAATTGGTGCGTTTGAGCGCGAACTTTGAAGTACCCAAACGAGAGATCCAGCGTCGAAAAATCCTGCCGCGGATTTTGTAGATACCCTTGAAAATCCTTTATGCAGATGTGTATGCGCGAGCAATGAAGAGGACATCCCCTTTAAACAGACTCGAACGTTTGCTTTTGCCTGTCAGGATGACGAAGCGACACGGCACGGCTCGAACAGCCAACGACGGTTCGGGCTCGCCGCGTCATGGACTGGGCTCTCCCCGGAACTCGCCTCGCTCGTGCAGAAGGCAGCAGCAATCGACGTTTAAGTCACAGCAGCAACAACAACAGCACCAACACGGATCTCCGACGCGAGCGCCAGCGGCTTCGCCGTGCAGCAGTGGCCCCGAGTCCGCAGTTCAAACCGCGACGGACGGCGGCTCGCGCGTCGGAGGCCTCGATCGCGTGCTACTCGAGCGGAACCTCGAGCGGCTCCTGCAGGAACGCGGCACGCAGCAGGAGGAATCCAGCGAGGAGCTCGGCAGGTGGGTGCCCGTAGCGGCCGTGCTGCACTCGTCGCGCCACCGCGAGACTGAATCCCATGCGCTGTTCGACAGGTTGATGCAAGCGCGGGATCGGGAGCCGCTCCGCTGCATTCCCGGCTCGGCGAGCCCGACGCACTCACCGAGCCTGCCGGAGCTGCCAAGGACGAGCGGCGGCGAGGCCATAGCCACGGCAGCGACCTCGCCCGCGACGTCCACCTGCGTGCCCGAATCGCCGATCACGGAGGACGGCCACGCGACCAGCTGCCTGCCGGCCTCCTCCTCCTCCTCCAGCTCCTCGGTGTCGCCGTCCACGCCGCCCGAGGAGGACAACAAGCCCTCGCCGCCGCCGCCTGCCCCCCACGAGCCCAGCGCCGCCGGCCTGAGGCGCGTCCGCTTCCAGGGCGACGAGCTGCTCGCCGAGCAGGCGTCCGGCTCGGGCGCCGCGTGCCCGCTCGTTCGCCAGCACGGCCGCCGCTCGCCTCCCTCGCCCTGCACGCCGCGCCGCCAGCAGCTGCTCAAGTCCAGGAGCTTCCACTCTCACTCGCACGACATGCCCGGCTGCTCCTCTTGGGGTAACGACAGCGCCCAGCCCGCCGCGTGCGTCCGTTCGACACTGCTCTCGAGCTCGACCCGACCTCCCGTTGCAGGTGCGGCTGGGCCGCGGAGCCGAGCCGACGACGAGGAGAGCTGCTGCTCGACCTGCAGCTCGTCCAGCAGCTCCGACGACGCCGAGGCCTACGCGCTGCCCCCGCGGCGCTACGGTGGCACAAGGATAGCTTACCTGCCTAACGACGCGGTGGCGATCGCCAGGCGGAGGGCCGCCGCCGCCGCCGCCGCCGCCGCAGCCTCTGCCGCGACCTCGAGCACCGGCTCGCCAACGGCCGGCAAGGAGCCCGAGAAATGCGTCATATCCTGATCGAACGCCAAACCACTACTCGTCTGGGTTCGCTGTCTTCCTTCAACGCCTGCGCAGCTCTCGTCGCCAACACCTTGCGTCATTTTCTATCTCACGTATTAACGTGATGGTACGTTGACGAACGCTAAAGTGCTGCTGGCGACGAGCTGGTCTGCGCACATATTGGCGTACATATCTTGGCGTCATTTTTTACTGCTAGGATGTGAATTGTTTTGGTACCGACACACTACCACGTCTACCTCTTCGCTTCCGCTGATTCTCTTGAAACGACTAACGATACGATATGAGTACCAAAACATTTTTATTTGAGATGCAAGCCTGATGCTCGCTACGATAGTACGTGTCCTGTTACTTTTTAATCGTTCGATTGTTACCTAATCATTATTATTTCTTTGGAAACCTAGCTGATAATTATATTCGTAATCAAAGGCGACATGTCAATTTTTGTGAAAACTCGAAGCATACGACAATACGTTCAAAAGCGTAGAGGGATCCAAGTTGAAAAATCTCTTTCACATTCACGGTGTACACTTATATTTTTTGTGGCACACGTATCGATTATTGTCTTTTGTCTTTTTACAACAATCATAATTATCAATTGTGTGTGTTTTCAGTAATATACGAGGGTGGGTCAAAAAGTTCTTAAAAAATCCAAGAGATGGCGCTCAAAGCATCCCAACTTACGAGGGTAGGTCAATAAGTCCTTAGAAAAAGACAGAAAAACAATTTTTTTTGGGAGATTTTTTTTTTATTTTTCAACATATCTCTTTTTAGCTCGATACACTTTTCCAGGCATTTTTCAAGTTTATTTAAGCCATCGGAAAAAAATAATTTTGGAAGTTCCTCAAAATAGCCATTTGTTTGTGTTATGACCTTCTCGTTCGAGATGAATCGTTGTCCGGCAAGCTACTTTTTTAGATTTGAAATTAAAAAAAAGTTACTAGAGGCCAAATCTGGTGAATACGGGGATGGTCTACTACTAATTCAAACTTCAATTCCTTAATTTTAGCCATTGAAACTAAGCAAGTGAGCACTCGTGCAGTGTCTTGATGAAACAGAATTTTTTTTTTGTTCAAATGAGGACATTTTTTCTTTATTTTCTCGCATAACCCGTCCAACAACGACGCATAATACTCTCCGGTGATTGTCCTTTTTCTAAATAGTCGGCGAAGATAATTCCACGTGCATTTCAAAAAACAGTGGTCATAACATTGCCGATCGATTGTTACCTGCTTTAGAGCTGATTGACCTTTCACAATCCACTGTTTTGACTGTTCCTATGTATCAGGAGTGTAGTGGTGTATCCACGTTTCGTCTACAGTTATGAATGGACGCAGAAAGTCGTCCGGATTACAGTGGATGTGCGCCAAGAAGAGCTCAGCGGCCACCACTCGACTGCGTTTGTTCTCGACTGAGAGCAAACGCAGTACCCATCTTGCCGAAATTTTTCTCATGTACAATTTCTCATATAAAATCGAAATGACTGTACCTTTTGAAACCCCTGTGGCCTCAACTATTTCACACAATTTTATTCTTCGATCACTCAACACCATGTCGTGGATTTTATTGATCATTTCCGGAGTGCTCACGTCTACAGGACGGCCTGAACGATGCTCATCTGCAGCGATGTACGGCCACGTTTAAATTCATTTACTCAATTGTAAACAGCTGCAAACACAGGGGCAGATACACCATGAACTGCATCTAACTCAGCTTTGATTTCTTTCGGTGTAAGCCTTTTGAATAGAAATGCTTTATTACCGCTTGGATCTCACTTTTTTCCATTGTAAACAAGAAGCAAAAGTTGTTCACTTTAATCGACGATAAAAACGGAAATACTCGATGGATCTGGCTGCAACTTCGAAAGCACTCTATTTAATAGTGAGGCTTACTGGTGCAACATACGAGGGTGGATCAATAAGTTCTTAGAAAATCCAAGAGATGTCGTTCAAAGCATCTCAACTTATGTTACACCAGCAAGCGTCACTATTAAATAGAGACTGCCGAAGTTTCAGCCAAATCCATCGAGTAGTTCCGTTTTTATCGTCAGTCAAAGTGAACAAATTTTGTTTCTTGTTAACAATGGAAAAAAGTGAAATCCAAGCGGTAATAAAGCATTTCTATTCAAAAGGCTTACACCGAAAGAAATCAAAGCTGAGTTAGATGCAGTTCATGGTGTATCTGCCCCTGTGTTTGCAACTGTTTACAATTGAGTAAATGAATTTAAACGTGGCCGTACATCGCTGCAGATGAGCATCGTTCAGGCCGTCCTGTAGACGTGAGCACTCCGGAAATGATCAATAAAATCCACGACATGGTGTTGAGTGACCGAAGAATAAAATTGTGTGAAATAGTTGAAGCCACAGGGGTTTCAAAAGGTACAGTCATTTCGATTTTATATCAGAAATTGTACATGAGAAAAATTTCGGCAAGATGGGTACTGCGTTTGCTCTCAATCGAGAACAGAGTCAGTCGAGTGGTGGCCGCTGAGCTCCTCTTGGCGCACATGCATCGTAATCCGGACGACTTTCTGCATTGATTCATAACTGTAGACGAAAAGTAGATACACCACTATACTCCTGAGACGAAGAAATAGTCAAAACAGTAGATAGTGAAAGATCAACCACCTCCAAAGAAGGCGAAGACAGTGAAATCGATCGCAAGGTTATGGCCACTGTTTTTTGGGATGCACGATCTTCGCCGACTATTTAGAAAAAGGACAATCACCGGAGAGTATTATGCGTCATTGTTGGACCGGTTAAGCGAGAAAATAAAGAAAAAATGTCCTCATTTGAACAAAAAGAAAATCTGTTTCATCAAGACAATGTACGAGTGCTCACTTGTTTAGTTTCAATGACTAAAATTAAGTGAAGTGAAGGAATTGAAGTTCAATTAGTAGACCATCCTCCGTATTCACCAGATTTGGCCTCTAGTGACTTTTTTTTATTTTCAAATCTAAAAAACTGGTTTGCCGGGCAACGATTCATCTGGAATGAGGAGGTCATAACATAAACAAATGGCTATTTTGAGGAACTTCCAAAAATTATTTTTTTCTGATGGCTTAAAAAAACTTGAAAAATGCCTGGAAAAGTGAATCGAGCTAAAAGAAGAATATTTTAAAAATAAAAAAAATCTACCGAAAAAAAAATTATTTTTCTAAAAACTTATTGACCCACCCTCGTATATATATACCAATCAGATCTGGTCTGATCTTCGTAATTTTGTTACGCAAAAATCTAAGCCTAAAAACGAGTTATCGTACACGTACTTTGTTGAAGATCATTCAATACGACTAAATTAAATGTTTTATAAAGATGGGTACTTACAACGAGCAAATTCACTGCCTAAACATTTCTTCGATGCCCACTATAGTGGATGATTACACACATTTCTAATTAAAAGTAGTTCAATAAGTTCTTTTTCTAAGTACGTAATAATTATTGATAGTGTATAACTATACTAGAAGCCATATTTATCTAGACTTCATTATTATTATTATTATTATTATTATTATTATTATTATTATTGGTTGACGAATTTCAAATGCTTACTTTATTTAATTGCGTAATAAGATCCGCTAACTTAATAGAGTCTTTCTTCAATGATTATTCTGTACAAAATTGTCGATAATTGTGTTATTTATTATGTTATTTATCTAAGTTAATTTCTATATATTTATTACATAATATTAAACTAAATATTCTTGTAAAAATGTGGTATTACGACCACTTCAAATGAATTTCATAAAGTACAAAACACAATAAAAATTATGACGAAACACTGATGAAGCATATCATTAAGCTCCTAGTAATATAGAATATCATGTATACAGACTGTATGAATTCTCAATAAAGAATACTTTGGTATATTCTTTAAAATGCAATTAAGTATTATGATACTCAATAGCAACATTGAAAGACTGTTGTAATTTCTTTATTATTGTTTTAAGCAAACTTATAAATAACCCAGCACTATTAATACACACTTCCCATCCGTGCAAAGATCTATTTTTCATTTAAAATATAATGAATTGATGTAAATAGATAGCTTTAAGATTTCAGGTATAAGCTAAAATTATAACTGCGGATTGAATGTATGTACATATTTAGTGATAATTATATGAACTTAAGAATTCGTAAGAAATTATACAACTCATTTATAATAAAAGTATTTTGAAAATAAATTAATTTTCATTATTTTCTTCCTTCTAGTGAATACAAGGCCTTTCATATTATCTTTAACAGTAATATTTTTATTTCTAACAAATATATATCACCCTATTTTCTTTTACATTTGTATAATATTTTGCGTAGAAAATATATTTTGCTGACGTGTTTTTTGAGACTAAATAAAGTAAATTCATTCAATTAATGAATCAAATCAGATTTCATTTGATTACAAACGTGTTACAGAAATTTTATATAGCTCACATATACCTAAAACCGTTCAACAAAAAATCATTTTTTATTTAATTCGAGTGAAAATATTCTTTTTTGTATTTTGGTCAGTAACAGACATAAAATCAATGAATTCTAAAAGTATCTCGCGATTCAAATATTCGCGCTCGTCCAGCTGCGAACGTTTGCGGGGACCGCAGCGCGACCTTGCATTTAAGATTGCGTGTAGTGTACTGTACGCGAGTATACATATATATAGCAGATCAGTTAGCAGACGACGGTTTGCGTGTTGTGACTGATGCACTAATGTCAAGATGTTTTCGTGATATTAAATTTTCTTCCGTTCTATATTATATTGCATACTTTAATCTAAAAGTAAATTAAAAATCGCTTAAATGGTTTTAATTGTCACGTTTCGTAATTCAAACTTAAAAAATTATTTCCTATTCTTAAACTTATCAGGTTAGAATTGATATTTTATAATATGTTGAAACGTTTGTAGTATCTCGATTTCAATTAATAAGAATCCAATATACCTTTACAGATAGAATTAATTATTTGTCAAATCTTGCTTTTGTACCAAAGTCTGAACCAGTAAAACCAGAAGAAGTAAATTTACTCAAACAGTTTTTACACAACTGTGGAAGAATATGTGTTATAACAGGAGCTGGAGTATCAACTGAAAGTGGAATTCCTGATTATAGATCAGAAGGTGTTGGCTTATTTGCTACGAGTGATCGTAGACCAGTCAAATACCAAGATTTTTGTAGAAGTGATGCAACTAGGAAGAGATATTGGGCAAGAAATTATGTAGCTTGGCCAAGGTAATATTCATTTATTGAAAGTTTGCTAGTACATCTATTTGCAATATTAATTTCTTATATTATTCAATATTTTAGATTTTCATTATTTAAGCCAAATTTTACTCATAATTGGTTAAAACATATGGAAGATATTGGAAAAGTCAGCTGCGTCATAACACAAAATGTTGATAGTTTACATATAAAAGCTGGTAGTAAGAATGTCATTGAGTTACATGGAACTGGTTATAGAGTAATGTGCCTTAGCTGTGATAAGAAAATCAATAGGTTCGAATTTCAGAATATCCTAGATCAACTAAATCCTAATATGAAAACCAGCTATGAAATAATACGACCAGATGGAGATGTAGATCTTACGCAGGTAATCATTGATGAATAAATTATTAATTTATGATTATGTAATATTTATTTATATTTACTTAACTTTTTTTATTCGTTTTTGTGCAACATAGGAACAAACTGACAATTTCATAATTCCATCATGCTCAAACTGTGGAGGAGTACTAAAACCAGATATAGTATTTTTTGGTGATAATGTACCTAAGATAATTGTTGATCAAGTGAATAATGAAGTTGAACAAGCAGATGCATTGCTTGTACTAGGAACTTCTTTGAGTACTTTCTCTGGATACAGAATTATTCTACAAGCTACAGAGGCTGAGAAACCTATTGCAATAGTAAATATAGGGACTACAAGAGGCGATGAATATGCTCATTTAAAAGTTCGTGGTAGATGTGGAGAAATTCTTTCTATGCTTAAATCGTAATATGTCAAACGTAATTTCGGTTAAATCGGTATTTATAAACAACAAGAGCTATTGTATAATAACCACAACTTTAAATCTATATAAGATACTTTTACTTATAACGCTATTTACCCTATAACGTTATATGGAAGTTTCACTGATTTACGTTGTATTTTCGAATACGAAATTCATTTTATAGGAATTATTTTATACTTTGGATACCCAAATTCACTAATTTTTCGAAATTCTCGGGTAATAGAAGTCATTTTATCTAAAATAATATATCTAAATATAAACTTGCGATATATCATTCAATTCATAATGCTTTACCTTAAGCGTGTAAGTAAACCAAATTCATCTATGATTTTAATTTAAGTTAAACCTTGTAAAATAACTCATATATACTGCCATAGATACTGTCAAATCGAAATAGTGCAACGGCATATCTAAAAAAAATAATTGCTCAGGTTTGAAACGAAACTACATATATTGAAAAATTTATTCATAGTAAAAAGTTATTTTTAATTTTAGTAACTTTCAGGGATAGTAAGTGGAATGTTATATTAAATGTTATTTGTGTAAATCTTGTTAAGGATTAATCTTAATTTTTTGAAATGTTAAGACTTACTTTTATCGACAATATTTGACAAACTAAAGTACAAATAATTGTAAGTGCACATATATTTTAAAAATCATTGAAAACTAATTTCCAATACAACTGATAGAAAAATTGATTGTTGTAATAATAACCTCCACGTCTTTCAAATGCCTTCAGTATTTTACAAACTAGATAAATAGACGCATAAACACATTTATAAGAGAAAAAAGAATAATACAAGTGAACTAAGTTCTACTCGTAATCTACGAAGACTGTCTATAAGATAATCCAGCTCTTGAGGGCAAGTAAAATATCAATCTATTATTATAGCCATTATTATAGGATATGAATATCTTCTGAAATATATATCAATCAAAGGTAACAATACAGTCAAAAACATCAAAAGAATTTTCAACCACTATCAATAGTTTCAATTGTGATTTTGATTACAACTATGGACATCAGGCGCACTTCACGCACTCTCATCGCTTTTTTATTCTTGTCATATTAATTCAAATATTTAATTGGATCACTTTTTTCAAAGTTGGATTTTTCAATTTTTTTACAAAATACATCACAGCGGTAAAATGTTTATTAGTAAAACAGTTCCGCATATTCTAAATTCATGATTTATCATATCAAAAACTGCTATAAATAATCTTTAGTTCTTTTCAACTATACGGATCAAATTCCTATTGAACATTTATCCCATTCTTTAAATAAATATTGCGACATTACAACATTTATTTTAATCTTACACGTTTAAATATCAGATTATCGATTTGTAATAGTAAATAATTGGAATAATTCCAAATTCTTGCTTTTATCAAGCGATTTACTCACTGTTAGTTTCATAAAATGAGTGTTGAAATAATATCACTGCAGTCTATTTTTCTTTACTTTCATCATCTTTAAAGTGACTCGTATTAATTATGATAAATGGAATTTTTACTACTAAAATCTCAATACTTGCTTATTTGCCGTCATATAACTGCAGTATATCACGTGATCACATCGCAGTACCTGTACCTCGAGGATTTCCTGGCAGGAAGATTGCCGGAACCTACTCACGGGGAGAGTATGAACTCAGGGGTGGGCCAAAGTCGCCATGCGATCTTGGAACAAGCGTTGGCTGCGGAGCGGTCTTAGATCCCCGGGAGACGGGGAGACGTCTTTGCTTCATCCCTCAGGATGTAAGAGGGTACAGCACTTCTCGCCGACATCTGGATCCACCGAAAGGGCAGACATGGCTTACCGTATCCTTATTGGGAGGGATACTGAGAGTGGATCGTCCGAATCGGAAGTGGAAAGGGGAAACGAGGCCTCCAGGTTATCTCGGATGCGCCGCGGGGTGTTGTCGCAGATCTAGCGAGTAGAGGCGTTGAAGGACTGGCGGGGTCATCGCATCTAATTTTGCCACTAATAATGATCAGAAAATTGAAGATCATTTAAAATTAGAGCATATGAATAATGAAGAGAAAAATTATGTAACTAAGTTAGCTAATAAAGTCCGAGACGTTTTTTATTTATCCGATGATGAACTACCCTGTACTGACTCAGTAATGCATGAAATTCTTACAACCGATGAACGTCCTGTTAATTGCAGACAATATCAATTTCCTCATGCGATGAAACCTAAATTAAATCATCGTATCGATAAGTTATTGAAAGTTGGTATCATTCGTGAATCTAAATCCTCTTACAATATACCAGCTTGGGTAGTTCCTAAAGCAACCGATGAAAACGGACGTATAGTTATGGACATAAGCGAATTAAATAAGAAAACTCTTGCTGATTCATACTCTACTTCTAATATCACTCAAATTTTTTGATCAAGTTGGTGGTGCTAAATCCTATATAATTTTAGATTTAAATATGGGCTATTATCAAATTAAAATGCATCCTGATCATACTTATAAAACTGCATTTAGTTGCCCTTTGGCTATTATGAATTTGTACGTATGCCTTTTGGTCTTAAAAATGCGCCTACTACTTTTCAAAGATTGATGAATATGTTGTTAAGAGGTTCACAAGGATTAGAACTATTTGTTTATTTAAACGACATTGTTATTTATGCTGGTACCATTGACGAGCACGATCGAAAGTTCAACTTTCAAAAAGTTCAAAGGGAACACCTTTTGGAAAAGTCTTCCCAGAGACATTTGTTAATTTAGCCATTATGGAATCCTTTATGAAAGTATGGCGATTTTTAATAGGGAATTGAAATATTTACCATTGGATAAATTATATATACAATAGAAATCATTTATATCTATTACAAATTCTTATATTGAATGGTGAAATTAGGTAGTAAAGCGGCGGCGGTTGCTAAAACGCTTTGTTTCTTTTGAGTTTAACCGTGACTCAGCGGATAGATATATACTTCTACCTTCGCGAGTTAACGAATACTTGGAGTAACTACCAGAAATCCCATAATCTCATTTAGCGGTACGTACATAGCTAAGAAACCCATCAAAGTCAAAGAAACAGTGTCACTCTATACATAGAATCTCTATACACTTCTTCAGGTATGGCTGTACGCAATATATCCATGCTTAATAGTCCATAATTCTGGTCTCGCAAGTTTGCGAAGATTTGGAATGTGTTCAGTATAGTGTAAAGCTATCACGTGGCTATCTACAAGTATACTTCGCAACACCATGAAAGAAGTGTGGTTTGAAAGAGTCCAGTAAATAACCTTCTTTTTAGGTACTTTTCTTGACATTGCGGAGGGAGGTTTCATCTACTGGAGTATAGATAAGTAGGTCGGTGGAACTTTTTAAAACGCTTGATTTTTCTTTTGAGCCTCGTAGTGATTTAGTGGATAGATATGCTTCTGTCCTCGAGAACTTATGAAAACTTGGGATAGTTCCCAGAAGTCCCATAATCTCATCCGGAGGATACGTTTACAGCTATGAAACCCATCAAAGTCAAGGGAACTGGTCCGTTTTATACGTAGAATTTTTATATCCATTTCTAAGCATGACTACGTAATATATTTGTCAATAAATAAACAGTAGTTACGTAATCTACTATTTGTTATAATATTCATTAGAAAATATAACAATTCCACTTTGTATAAAAAAATTTTATGAATATTTTATACATGTACGTCATTTATATACGATTTAATAATGTAATAATAAAATCCATAAAAGTAGAAACTTCCACTCTTATGGATATACCTAAAAAATACTTATATAGGAATATTATTGTCTTATACATAAATAATGCAGAATACTTATACAGAAATATTACGATAAATTATAGTTTTTAAGAATTTATATTGTCGAAGAAAAAGCGACATATATACCATTTAAAATCTGTGGAATAGATTTATAGGGATAATATTTCTATAGAAAGGTATTGAACTTTTTCTGCCTGTTGAGAAAAAGGTTCACTTAAACAGTCCAAAAAAAGATTAAGAAAATGACTTTGATTAAGTTAAAAAGAATTCTTTTGTCTTTTTCATTTTGTTGAAAGTTCAGAACTCAGGTAAACGACAAGTTTTTCTAACTACCTTAATGCTTAACATTTTCAACTTAACTATACTAATAAAAAAATAGCTAACTAAGAAAATTGGCTTTGCACCAATTGACTGTCTTATTATTCAGATTTTGTTGAAATGCAGGAAAGCAATCTAACCAAACTCCCAGTTGATTTCCTCCAAATCGCACTGTACTGCTAAAATCATTATGTAACAAATGGCTTGTGATAAAAATAGTTTACTCGATCAATATTTATTCCATCTACCCACGCTAATTCAAAATAGTTCAAAAAGTTTTAAATTATAAGGTTTTTACATACGAAGAAAACTAATATCACACACTTAAACATATGCACAGCCTTCATGCTGCAAAAAATATTTAATGAAAAACTTTAATATTTCAAGAAATCTGTTATATAATTTCTGTACTGATTAATAAGTAAGAAGATATATAAAACATTTACTTTTATTTACGATTAGCAATTAAATATCGTAATTGTTAATCTAATTAATGATATGATTTACATTTAATATTTTTGTCACTTAAAAAAGAAAACAAAATATAATAAAATTAACATTGCAAGTATTTTATGTATCTATATATGATTCAATTATAGTTGTAACATGAAAAATTACACATTTAGAAATCGAATTATATTTTAGGGGTGATAATTATTTTATGCGTATAAAAACTTAACTTACATGGATACAAAAAGAATAACGCTTATATATAACATTCTTCGATAAGTTTACATATACTGCGAGTGTGTAAAAGATCGTATTCTTTTTACCAATTCATATTTCATATGATACATAAAATGCCTTTCGAATAAGTATTATGATGAAATATCATGCTTGTACTTTCGTAAGAGATATTCAATTAGTTGTGACCAATAAAATTGTAATTGGCAAATGATTCATTGTTATTTGGAATACATTGTCATACGTGCACATTGTTTAATTAAAGGCAAATAAAGTTTCTCTACTAATATAAGAGAAAGCATAAAGCTGACTATTACAAGATTTCACAAATCTATTTGACGCCACTTGACACTTGATTGACTATAAAGACTATAAATATAATTATAAAATCTAAAATTTGCCGTTCAAGATAAGGGTTAGCAATTTGTATGCTGAAATCCACCCAAAATTCACAGCCTGGTTACAAATTGAGCGGCATCAATGGCACATACTTGTCACTAGGTTGAAATTTGTATTGAGAGCATAGTCGAGCCCATTCAGATTCGGCGTACCCATTCCTGAACAAGAAATGAAATTAATTGTATTATTTGGTTGAACAAAATGATTCATTAGTGCTGCCACCATCAATTTCAAAAGATAATCTTCGGCAGTAACTGTTATATGAATGAATAACAAGATAGACGATTATGTATGTTTTTACTCACAAGTATACATAATCATCTATTATGTGACCTACGTGACAATGAAGCAATTGATAAATGGAACTTTCTAAGTTATGTATAATGAAAATATCGACAATAGTAAGTGCAAAGTTCGAAAATGGTAAGTTGTGTCCCATAGCCTCCAGCACCAATATGCCTAAATGGATATTATTATTTATTTACAATTCTCAATAAGTCAGTCAATATCGAAGTCTAGGGCTTTGTCTTGCGATGAGCTGCTGAATCCAGTTATTAAACGATTGGAAAATCGTTCTAAGATTTATTGGTTTATTTGCTATCGTTCTTGGTTGCCACATTTTCGGCAAAATGTACCTTTGCGATCGCTGCCACTCGTAAACCTGACAACTAAAATATCGATACCGGTTGGTCACTACAGCCAACGTAAAGCATGGAGCCAATGAAATCATCGTAGATAGCCAAATATCAGATATGCAAAAGGTTGCGGGCTTACCTTTGCCACTGGGAACAAGGGCGTCTCTCTTTGAAGCAGGTGACTTGTATTACATTGAAGAAAAGCGCGCCGATGGTATTAGCGACCTCGGTGTTGATGACCTGAAGGCAGCGGCGGAACTTGGCGTCACAGTCGCAGTGGGAACGCGTGATCGGCGAGATGTTGCAAATTCCGTGGATGCATTGCTGCGGATTGATCGTTACCGGGCAATGGTCATGCTCGCGACAGCACGAGTCCTCGGCAGCGTGTATCCCCAAGTCGTCGTACGATTTCGCCGTGTTGCCCGGACCGCACCACTTTGTTCCCGGATACATTATACCACCTGACGGTTGATTCTGCTCATCCCGGCATCAATAGTTAATCAATAATCCAACTGAATTACAGATCATTTGAAGCTAACGAATCTAGTATTCATTAGTTATTGCAAGTTGGTTTTTTAGTTATCGTAGGATATATCTTTTTCAATAATAAGTCTAAGGCTGATCAATATTTTAATCTTGAATAAATATTCTTCTTTTTAACAAATCAACTTTAGCGGATTGGATATATCTCATTTATTCTTATTTTATATTTAGTCACCAAAATAAAATGTGTTTATACTATATGACTCTTATCGTTATAATTGGTGAAAATCGAACGGTTGTTAAGTTAAGGGTAAATGTGCTCGAAATAATTTAATAAATAATTATGATAAAAAATTGTGAGATAAAAGCATTAGCGTCGTAGCTTCTGTTGCAAAGAAGTGAAACGCAGACGCACAGCGAACATAATAAAAAGGATAACATAATAAAATGGCAGTTATTTATGAAAACATACCTTGCCCTTACTGCGCGATAGTTTGCAAGTCTCCTCGAGATCGGCCACAAGATTATTGGATATCTGTCGAACCTTTTTGGGATCCGAATTGAGGACGACGTTCTGTATGGTGCCGCGATCGTGGTAGAGGGCGCAGAATGGTGCGTCCGAGTTGAGCTCGATCATCCGCGTCATCGCCATATCCGCGACGAAAACGCTCGAACTCACCAGCTGCGAGCTGGCAGCCAGCAATGCAAGTGCCAACAGCGTCACGTGCATCTCTCTGGAAACGATGAAAAGCATTGAGACAATTTTTAGTATAACTCTTGGACTGTAGAACGAGTTTTAGCTGAATTTGTTATGGCTTTGATGGAAGCTTAATTTTTCCCGATAAAGTGATTCGGAATGTAATTTACTTCAGGGGATTTTCATAACGGAAATCCCAAGAGCCGAGTTAATTTGAATCATTGAAAATTCTTATTTATATTGCAATATGGAAGTCATTAAAGTAATCCATGACTTATGAAACACTTGTTATCGCCAAGACTTCAATGAAAAAACGACCTCCACAATCACAGCCGATCATTTAAATCATTGGCTTTTATTAAACAATCGCTGCTCACTCGAATGCTCAATCAAGTTTCCACTAATGATGCATTTAATGATAAATACTTGCAGCACAAACAACGCTTTTTTGAGAAGACTGTGTATGAAAAGCTTAACTGGTTTTTTCTCGATCGGGCAATTTTGACAAATGACCGAGAGAGGCTTTACGGATAAGCGATTTTCCGCAACAACGCAAATAGCTCACGTCATCGCGCACGAGTAATGAAAATAAAAAAAGCGAAATGAGGAAACGTCATCGAATCAACGGATATAATAAATTGATAGCGGAAAAATAATTTTTTAGTTGGAGATATGTGAATCACTTGCTGGAAAAAATGGAACGGTCATCGCCAAAGTGACGAATGTAAGAAAATAGCAGACACAGGATGGACGTACAGAACAGGTCGCGATCGGTAAATCAAAAGCCGAGCGAACGTATACATGTAGTCTAGAGTAATAGCGCGCACGTCGCCGTTACTGATTGAATCAATCTCCAAAGCACATCCTGAAGGTGACTGTGACTTCTCGGAAGCTTTGCTCTCGCTATTTTCACGTGTCGACGTGATGTACAAACAACTCCAAGTGCATTTTGATACGTACGTAAGGCTCGGATCGATTGACATTCGTACACGCGCGCATCGCCAATTGATGCTGCACGATGCAGTTGAGATTTAATGATGTGCGCTTATTTACAAGTGTCATCAGTTGAGAATTCATGTTTTTCGTTAGTTATCATCCGCTTCGGCAAATTGTTACTTGCGAAATTTTTAATCTATTCTTTCGTTACAATCGAATCATTGTAATCAATTATAAGTATAGAATGCTTGATGGAGTTCGATGCCAGAAGTATACGACGTGAGTTTATCAACTGCTTTATCACTTGATTAGTACTGACAAATAATGTCCGTTCTAGCCAAATTCGGCGATTTTACTAATTAGTATCACTTTTTTTAAGCTTGCAATTGTTCGCGAATTTCATGTTTTGCTCGATTTACGTTTATTTCAGTTGATTGTCGCAGAAAAAAATGACTTAAAAGAACGGGAATTGAACCAAAACGTCACTCTGACTTTGAACTGTGAATTAATTGAATGGTCATCAAGTCGCTCGGTTATTTTGCATGACGTCAGGTACCTCCTGTTAGAAACATTATTTTGATTCACATCTATGATTTAATTTACAAAAACCACTAAAACAAGTATGCGCAGGCCATGTATTTAACTATTAATCAACAAGCTATTTTGAACATTTCAAAATGCAAATATTTTGATCAATGAGACGCTTAATGTACCATAATTCGCTAATTTACGCATGGATGATGTAAAAATGTCTCTTAATAGCGATAATATTATAATATTCTCGATATAAAAAACTTCATATTGAATAATCGATAGTTACAATCATTCAGTGACTAATAAGTATAAGAATATTGCAAGCATAAAACTACACTCACGTGTTCATATATGAAATCCAATAGTCACAAAAGCCCTGTGAAAAATATGCGAAATACTGTACACCAGTTGCGAACGAATAAGTGCGCGGACAAAATAACACAAAATGTACTGCCGTATCTTTTTTACAAGTTGCGCGCATCAGCAGTATTTATTTTAAATGACACTTCTTCCCCGCAGACGTGTTATTATAAGAATATCGCTAAAGGCCTCGAAGATCCGTTGAACTTGGAAGTTTTCGTATTCTTTTGTTCACCGCCGTCTTCTTTTTTTCTTTTTTCGTCACGAATTTCTTACCGCAGGACGTGTACAACATACATTGCTCACTTGTGTTAGTATTGCCACACTTATTTTGTCATTTAATGATTACTGACAACAAAGTAATTGTTCATTTAAATATTTCTGCTGATAATGGAGCTATCGTTCTCTTCCTTTTGCAATTTATTGTTTTCAATATTTGTATCTGCAAACACTGGGATAAATTTGAATTCCAAGTTTCTACGTTCTCGAAAATTTTGAAATTTAATTTGACCATTTTTGTTAAAAAAAGAATATACAAAATTTCACGTGGTAGTCAATTTGCGACGAATTACTATGTTTTAACTCTATTTTATTATGGATTGTGATTTTAATGATCAATAATCATCGATAATCGCCATTGCCAATATTCTTGACACAGTGCGTATGATTGACTTAGCTATCATTTGATGCAATTATACATTACACAAGGTTAGTGGCAAGAAAGAATACTCAAAAGAAAGAAAAATTATAGATACGAAAGCTTAATAGACTGGTATGCATTAAAAAATAACTTGTCATTATGTACAGTTTTATAATGAAATATATATTCTGTCGGAACACAACTACATTCGTTTTGTCTTTTTCAAAAATAGTCACTAGATCGAACGTCCCTGCGACTAGGTTTCGTGTCGATGTAATTGTAAAATTAATCATGAAGCAAAATAGATATAGCTGAGCAAAATGTAAATTTCAAATTGGCTCCGAACTATTTTTAAGCATCAAGGGACGCAAGTAAAGAGCTTTTGAGCGTTCCCCTTATCAAGAACATTATCTGGGTTAATTGCGCACAGTTCCCCATCTAAACCTTGCTACTTGAACCTGGAATAAATATGTCAGACAGGTTGACATATTAACTTTATGACCAGGTGATGGTCAATCACTATATAGACATGGAAAATTTTGCAACTAAATATTACACTATGTTACCAAATCTGGCTTAAAAAATGTCTTTTCTTAATTTCAAAGTGAATTATCTTGAGTAAATGACATTCTGAAAATATATTCCGTTAGCAAAGTATAAAATAACTTTGGTCACGTTTTACGATACCAATATACATAAAGCATTGGAAGAGAGAGAGAGAGAGAGAAGAAAATAAGGTGAATACTTAAAAAAGGTAAATTCTTTGTTTGGATGGTATTACAGCAAACCAGAGACGTCGTAGTTGTCTCTTCTTTTAGGCGATGCACGTATTAAACAAGTCTCTTTGTACATTCTTCGTCTTACTGGCATGACTTTACAGGCAAAGCTCCACGGTACCGTTCGATTTTATATTTTAAAAATCTGTACTGTCACTTTATGCCACCAAAATAATTATCATCTATTGTCTTTTCAGTGAAGTTTTATAGTCATAATTGATGTTAGTTTGTTATTATTATTACTATTATGATTATGATTATTATTATTATTATTATTATTATTATTATTAATATCATTATTATCAGTGTTCGTTATTAAAATGTGTAATTCATTGATGGGATGACCGTTAGGTACTATTAAGTAAATATCTAAGGGATTCCAAATTGGCTATTTCAAAATTATCAGCGATTTAATCATATAAATAATTTTTACAAAAACTAGTTATCCAGAATTATATGTTTATAATATTTTAAATTCAAGTGAAAAGGATAGAAACAAGGAAATACTATAATATGTTAAAATCGTTTACGTATTTATTACAGTAATTACTTTTAAATCTATTTTTTATATATGTAATATTTGATCTATTCGGAATTGAATGCAGTTGGCCTAAAGTTCCAGTTTATCCAAAAAATACGAATAATTACGAAAATAAATTAAAAAAGAAGGAAAGGGGTATTCTTTGATTCTGTTCTCAGGTAACAATAATATAAGAACGTAATCAAGACAATATTAATAGACTACATTCACCGTTGGCAAAATACCAAGCTAGGACTATTGAAGTTGAAAGTTAAATGGTGTGAACATGTGAACCGAAGAAACTGCGCAAGTAACAGAATCAGTGGTGTAAAATGTACTATATATGTAACACGGTACCGTAGCTACAGCTGCACTGCGTATTCCGACATACCCTTGGGACAAAACACCCGCGCAACTCTTACGAGTGCTGCAGATTCGCCATCGAGTTCTCGTTTACAAGATGGGAAAGACTCAAACACGTCTATGCAATCTTTCAAAGTGATTAAAGAAGGCACAATCACGTAGACTTTGGTAAAAATGCATGGACGATGAAAAATATTAGTTTAAAGTCATTCTACTCGTGCAAACGCACGAGCTATTCCCATACTATTTACCGAAATGGAACAATAACGAAAATTTCCGCTGTTTAACTTGACAGCAGGCGATTTTTGAACGTTCGCTTGATAAAGCTATTGAAAATGCAAGTTGCCAGTGAAGGCCGGCAAGGCGAAATTCGACTGCGACGCGATCAAATGCCATAGCTTGCAATCAAGCCTAAGCTCGCATTGATCGAGGTAGCGACTTACATGCCTGCTGAGAGTAATCGTCTAGCCAGAAAATTTCCAAGTCCAGAAGGCAATTTCAACGAGCTTGCGCTGATAACACAGTTGTCGATGAATATAATAAAAGAGCGCGAACGGAAGTGATCTGAAAGTGATAAATGGCGCAAGCGCGACTTGTCAACGGAACGCTCGCCAACCGACTGCTCGTAGAATCGCGTGGACGGGATGATTTATCCTGACAACAACATTCATTGATCGCGCGGCGCATGCACGAGCCTCACCAAGTTGTTCGGCTTTCTGAACGAGAGCGTAATACGTTCACGTACGGCGTGCGATACCTATGTCGTAGTCCGGTGCCGAATGGCAGGGGACGCGGATCCGTCACGTGAACAAGTCTATTTAGCCGCGCAAACTCAAACAAGCTATGCTTATGCGCGTATTACACCCCCGCCGCGTGACTCGCGCCAAAGATCCCCGGCCGGCACTGTTACTTCGACTTTTCGCGGGTGCAATGTCGAGCGCGCAACGCAAGTATAGCTTATGTTGGATCGCGGGCGCGCCTGCCCAAAAGCAATTCTCTTCGCCGCCGCGCGTCCGGCAGCACGTACTGCAAGCACGCTATACGTGCAGCTACCTGCACCATCAATCGCAGTTCGCCTACCACCCAACGAATATAGGTCGATTCATCACTTTTCTTTTTCGTTTGCACAGCGAAATCACGTCAATTCGTCGCTGGATGAAAAATTGCATTGAAAGCTCTTTGTTTTTCAGTGTGATACGGTTTATCGGAGCTTTTCCAAGTTAATCAGCAACAATCAATTTCAGGAACATTTCCATTTTAATTCACGAAAATTAAACTCAATATCAAGTTGAGTCAATTATGCAAATGGTCGAAACCCATTTCATTTTCTCGATCAAACATCAATAAAGCACGAAATAAAGTATAGTCGACATTTTGACGAACAATTTAAGTTCTTCCAAAGGAAATTTAATAAATAATCAACCACCTCAAATTGATAGAAACAAGAATTCATTCTCCGGGCCTAGTAAATACCATTTCACAATGGATTACTCTATAAAAATAAATATTTACTTTATCAATCGCAACATTTGATTAAAATAATTTACTTTGTGATAAACAAATACAAGTGATCTAAACGATGCTTTACTCTTATTTTGTGAATCATCCGAATGTATCTGAAAGAAGCAATTGTCCCCTTTTACTCAAGCTTGTTATCCTAATTTAAAACAATCTTCCAAAAAAATGAATGATCTTTTAAATTCAAGGAAATAAGTTTAAGAGAAAAATACGTAAGTCTTTGCTACTCTCATTGAGAAAAAAGGAAGCTCTTGCCTTGTAGTGGCTATAATTTAAGTTTATATCAGAAGTCTGTATTGATTAACATAAACCAAAAGTTACTTAATTGAAGTCGATTAGAAATAGTGATTTTATTATGACATTTTTCATATAATTTTACAATTAATTTCAAATGAACATAAATCATCGTTCCGAAATCATTCACTTAACGAGATTATTAAGTCACACCAATTTTTGCAAAAATATGAGTACACCCTATACGATGTGGAATAATTAATACATAGATATCATTAATTGTTTGAGTATAATCTAGAGTTACCGACACCAATTCAGCTATCATTTAGTTCGAATTTTACTTTATTTCAATGAGTATTGTCACAACCTTAATTAATTTAATTGCACAGTAAACTCAAAAACTTTAATATCTCTTATTTGTTGAGTATTTTTGTCGAGTCTTGAATTATATTTTCTAATCATTAAAAAGTCAACGTAGTAATACTTGTTAAATGTATATTAAAATGACGCTTATTTCAAATCCCGAAGGCACTAGACTGCGTTTACTACGCCAATGGATAAACCTTTAGAATATATTATATATTCTATAATATTATATTGAACTGAAATAAAGCGAATTTATAAGAACTCTGTTGGACAAATCGACTGGTACTACGGTTACTAAGAACGTCAAGGAGTATTTTGTTGAAGACGCTGGTCGTATTATTTACAAAATTGAAGCAAATTTGGGGGATAATCTAAGGGATCCACTCGACCTCGTTATTGTCGAGCTTGCCATTGGTGTTCTTGGGCTGCGGAGGCTGCGTCTGTTCGGAGCTCTTGTCCTTGCCGTCACCAATGATCTTGTGATAGACCTTGCTGCCCTGTTCACCGATCCACTCGACGCCGTCGCCGATCTTTTCGCCGGCTTTGCGTACCGCTTGACCAATGTTCTCAGCGCTGAAAGTATGCGGATCGACGTTCACGTCGAGGCTGTTGTTGCCACGCGGGCAGTCGGTCTGCTGGACGATGCTCAAGCTGAATGGATCTACGCCGAAACTACTGAGTTTGGTGCGCACTTTGTCGACGTAGACCTTGTCGAGGTCACGCGTGCGCGATAAGATCGTTGCTGACTGACGATGAGCGAACGCCAGTTTCTGACACGTGAAGATACCGGCATAGTTGACGTAGTCCGTTGCAAACACAACGTGCGATGCACTACCCGCTACACCTGCAATTATCATTCAGTTTATATATCATTTCCTCAATATACCACTACTATGAACCAATTCATAGAATTTATAAAATTTTTGGTGAAGTTAATCTGCATTCTTTGGGATCTTAATTATTCGTTCGTATGACATCTCAGTGGATTTCTCGAAATTGTTATTAATACAGGTCTACTGGTATTCAAAGAGGTAAACAAAGTCATACATGATTCATTCTCAAATGTTTGGACGTATGTGTATCTTTTATGAAATGGTGAACGTAAATATAAGTTTAAAGGATGGTTAAAGTGCATTCTATTATCGAGTTACGCAGCTGTACCAAACTTGTCGCTAATTTAGGTAAATATTTAACAAAAGATAAAATACTACATCGCCCACTTAGGTCCCATAATTGAAAGGGCACGCGTAGAAAAATACTTACTGAGAGGAAAGCGAACAGTCATACGGGCAGGGGTGCTGGGCTCGGTGACGGTAAGCTCGCCGGTGTAGTGATATTCGTGCTTGAGCGAAGTGAGCCCTGCAACGAAAAAGCCAAAGATCAGACCGAAAGCGTTGATTAATTATACGCAGCAGATGACTCGCAAGTCGCAATGAGATGCACACAAAGAAGTCAATTCATAGGGGTCGCGAGGCGAACAGCTCGCAGCAATTCATGCCACTTGTACCAGTACATATGTGCAGTGCTGCTGCGGGTCCTTTGTCTGCTGAACTCTTTCTCTCTCTCTCTCTCTCTCTCTCTCTCGTGACTCTCTCATGAGCTCGATTGGATGCAGACACGCTTCATTTAAGCCGAGTAACTTGGTTATGCTCGCCAATTGCGTGTACAGTCTATAAATAAAGTCAGTGTCCTGGGAGTGCCCTTGAAAGATCGCCAAAAATTTCCTTACATGCGTATTTTCTCTGGGCGTCTATGGATAGCCCCTAACCGTGCTACAAAGTAATCTCGCGTAAAAGGCATCAAGACGTTGCCGAGAAATCTTGACGCCAAGTACTTTGACTACATGAAGATTCGCGCCGGTTAAACAATTTGCGATTAGCGTACGTACCGAGGATAGGGATGTCGGAGTCTTGCGTAATGCTGTATTCACCGGGCTCGTCACCCCGGGTGTAGTTGTAAGTGATGCACTTGCTGGCGGTTGAAGTCTTCTGAATCACGTGCCATATTCCGAGAAACTGCCGACAAAGCGTTAATTCAAATTCGACGATTTATACAATTTTACTTTAGCATCGCATCAGCGTCAAATGGTGGACTCCCCGATGCCTTACGCAGTATTTTACGAGAAAGTCGACCTTGACATAATTACCCTGTTCATTTCGAATCCGGAGACCGGCTCGACGATTGGGCAAGCGCCGAGATGGTAAGAATGCGCCAGCGCTACCGCAACACATCCTGCCAATACCAGGCACAACGTCAGCGACCTCATCTGATAAACAAACACTTCCATTAGACATTTCTTTGCGTGCAATCTTCACAACTAGAGGTCATTCTTGGAATTCGTTCAACTTTATGCCTCTCTCCATTGCTTTCGCCATTCCATTTTATGAAGACATTCAAAGCTTACACACGGTATGCAACATTAAAGAATTATCAAGGATAATTGCTTCGACAAGAAATGAAGAGATCCGTCTAGAACCTTATAAAAATACAATTCCGCTTTGGAACTCGTAAAATTAATTTAAAGAGAATCTAACAATTACTCCAGTAATTGCAATTCATTTCGTACTTTATTATTTTTTTCATTGCACATTATTTTTTACACCTTACGGTAAAAGTTGAACGCTAAACGTGTATTAGCTTATAAAGGTTCAAAAGAAGACGTATTTAAATAAATATTATATATGTGAAATGAAAAGCTGATATCGGCGATACACGCTCATCAATACGTCAGATAATACGACTGAGACATATTGTTCTTTATATGTGTCGATAAATTGTAATCAAACTGCACGGCAAAATAAATAAGTTGAATGTAAAAATAATAAGTCCATATAAATCTCATAAAAATTAGGAGCGTATTACTTCCGTAAAACTCAATTGTTTTGAAAAAATACATATTTTACGTCCATTACAATTGCTATTAACATTGTACAATAGAAAAAAAAACTCTATTAGTCAGCACATATTGGCTTATGCGTATCAAGTACAAGTTCAAACGGTTTGCCTTGAAAAAACGCCACTCGTAATTTATTTCGTTTTAATTTTATACAATATACTCTCCTGCGTAGACTTATTATTAAGTATATCCATATAAAAACGCGAATTTTTACTGGGAAGCCTTAGCCCATAATAATCAAGTAAACGTGGTTAACGAGATAAAACATGTACCAGTGGCAACGACGACTCATTCTAACTACATCATTCTAAATTTGATTTTTTAGTTGCTAAAAATCCATGCCATTCAAGAAATCAATATTCATTCAAAAGTCTGATTTTTTGTTAAAACTGTTGATAGCGATAGTTTGTTCTGAAGAAAATGCTTTCGTACTAGGATATTGATATAACTATGCAAACATTGTCAATGGTCATTCAGATCTTGAAAAAGAAGTGTAGGAACTTTCTGTTTGTTATACAATACGCGCTTGTTTTTGCGTGATTGTATGAGAAAAAGTGACTGGAGAATGAAATGTTCAACAGAAGCGCGAATGTAAGTGATTCGCAATAAATGTGCCTTGCTGAGTGAAGATCTCGGTGCCGGATTTTATTCCTCTCACATTCTGAACTATTACGCTTGAACGAACGATTGCTTTATGTTAATCTTCGTGAGTTCAATGTTGCTTATATATTATAGAAAAATGTTTTGATTGCTCTATGGTGAAGAATGATTTTTAAGAATTTTGATTATTGTCACTCCAATACATCAGTTCTTTGAAAATTACACAATTGACAAAGTTGAAGTTTCAACGTAAAAAATAAAGTGCTGATAGAGTAATCAACCGAACATATAAAATAGCCGGCGCAAATCCTATTCACGCTAATTGAATAAAGCAGCAATACGTATAGTGGCTAAGTGGAAAACTATTCAGCAATGAAGTATAATGTACACTAAAAAGAGCAGATATTGGCTTGATTCAGTATTATCAACGAAGTGTTATAATATGCGCGATCGTTCCGTGACCCGTGTTAGATCGGTCATTTACTTCGATACTGTGCTAGTATCTCAAGAAGTAGTTGCATATGTTTTATTAAATAAGAGTTTATCTAACGATATTGGAATTCCAGGGAAACGTAGTACACTGATGCGTGTACATTTGTCCGGTATAACGTTGTGCTGAGAATTCCTTGTACTTGTACTTAATTGAAGGACTGATTCGAAGACTATTTCCTGCATTAGTTAACTGTGTCATACCTTTCTCTGCGAATCTATTGGCTAAGTATTTTTCCGAGAACAAATAATTATATATTATTATTGCTGACAGCTGAACGAAAGAGAGAGCTCCGTTTACGCCTTGCTTTTGTAATAGAAAAACCACTGTTGCAAAGATACTATCTGAAAATTACACGATGCATACATTTCTATAAAAGTATTAAAGATGAACTTAACGAATATTACACAGTAAATTTAAATGGAAACATTTTTAGCTAGAACTAAAAAACTACTCAAGAAACAGATTTAAATTCTTTAAGCTAATACTCGCTCTTGAAAAATGCAAGATCAGTGACGAAAAGTCAGCTTCAAAACTACAAAAAAGATATGTACGTAAAATATTGATATTTCGTTTGTTAGTTTACGTAGCCTCGAGTGTAAAAGATTTTACAACAAAACCTGGATAGAATCTGTATGGTGAGAGATAGTACAAGAGTAAAGCACAAAATGCCCAATAAGTCTTTGGTTAAGAAAATATTAAGACTTACATTGTTTTGCAGCGTACAAGCGACGAGTAGTAGCAACACTGTAGTGTCGAGTCGACGTCTCGAGACTATACTGGACTCTGGCACGTTCTGTAAACAGTTTGTTGGAAGCGTTTCAGCTCTTATACGGCTACCCCCCACCCACGTAAGAATGCTAGGCTTCGGCCACAGTTGTACTCATAAATCATCTCTCGAGGGCTGTGCCGGCACGATTTTCTCCTTTCTTCCACCATAGTTTTACCTTTACTTTTCCTTTTCTTCAAACTCGTTCTCTATGGAATGTCTCGTAGAACATTTCCTTAGTTTTTCAGATTCAAGACCTACAATCCTATAGACTCACAAGCCAATATCTTTTTCAATTTTCAAATAAATTCACGCTCACTTTCCATTCCATCCCGCACATTTTTCCTTCACTTGAACAAAGAAAATCACGTTTTTATTTCATGCTGATGACGATTTCAGTACCAGATCTTCTAATTATTTTTTCATTATTGCATTTAATGTAATAATTTTAAAAAACAGCTACTTTAAATTTATTTAAAAAATTTTTTAACGTAAACGAATAATTTTCTATATTATCAATTTTATGCCGATTCAACAGTGATTCATCTAAAAAATTATTCCTCGAATCATTCATTGATAGCATTGTTCGTGTCATAATTATATTTATTTGTAATACTTTGTCAATCATACATACGTTTAGCAATAATATAAACATGTTGAAAAAATATTTAATGTCCTCCAAAATACTCATACATTTGCAATGGAAAACGCATCAGTAACTATTGTGCATACGAATACAAAATTTCGGTTCATATTAAAAAAAATCAAGTTTTCAAAATTATATGTATATTATGTACACGTAATACAAGTATATATGTTATATAGATGTAATACTGATGACTCTGTAACAAACTATTATAGTAATCCGAATTAGAATTTGTTCTCTGAATAGATGACGCATCGTCATTAGGCTAGTTTCAAATAAGCTGCAACTGTGCTTGCTTTTTTTCATCAAATACAAATTGATATAAACATTAAAACTGTCATTCCTAAATTCATTAATTTAAGTACAATTATATATTTCGATATATTTTACTATTAATTAGAGAACATTGGAAAAATCGATAACATTTAAAATATTCTCTTATTTTTCATATAAAATGATTAAATAAACATGCTTTTAGGAAATATTTTGTGCATTTTATTTTCACAATGATTTTCGTCATACATTGTAACATATAATTGTTTATGTGAAAAACATTTTAGTGTCTTCAAAGTCTTATTAATAACTATGTGTGCGTTATTGAAAGAAAACAGTAGACAATGTATAATTTACATAATTTTGTATTTATCATTTAAAATTAACTACCAATAGTCCAAAATTTTCAATTGATTGATAGCTAATTCATTAAAGCTAATATGAGGTATTAAAGAGCATGAAATTGACACATCAAAAGCAAAAATTATAGATGATACTTCCTAGCTATTTAAAATATTATTGATGTAATACGACGTTTCTAATAATTTGAATCTTCATTAAAGTGACTGATGGCATATATTTACTAACTTGTAGTTTTTAGATTATTAAATTTTCACTTTTGTCAAAAAAAAAGCTTTCTAATATTGTTTTTTGCAATGTGATTCATTTACAAACTTGTTCTACTTAATTTCGAAGTTTTTAAGCCAGACAAATTGATAAATGAAATTGAAACCATTTGTATACTATTTTTTATCTCGGGAAATGTGAAAAATCATTATAATTTAGTAATATAACTTGATGAAAAATCCACAATCAGATAATTAAGTTACATGAACTGTCAATCATAAATTGGATTAAAATGAATTAAGTAAAAATGTCTCAAACTGTTACGTATATTTTTCTTTAAGCTTATTAAAATTGACAAAATTAAAAAAATGTATTAAAATGTATAAAGTAAAAATGACTCAAACAGCTACGTATATTTTTCTTTAAGCTTATTAAAATTGTACTTAAAAGTCAAAGAAATGATTAAATACTGATTAAAACTCACAAACTTAAAAACTCAGAATAGTAGAATAATTTGGTTTTAATACACACTCATACAGGTGCAGGTGGCAGTTTCCTCTTTTCCACATCATCAAAATAAGCATGTGCCAATGCATCTCTTGCTGTGATTCTTGCTGCAGGGTCATAGATTAACATTGCTTCCAATAGATCCAGTCCTGTTTCATCCAGTGCCTTCACTTGAGCCTGTAAATTATTTGTTTTCCAATTAGGGAATGTTGCTTTATAATCTGTTAACTGTGTAACACCAGGCCAAATTTCTTCTGTGGGAGTTTTCAATACTCTACAAAATAAAAATGATTATATAACTTAAACATTCATTTATTACTTTTGAAATGATACCAATAATTATTGTCAATATTCTCACCGAAATATTCTAAATAACTGATCAATTTCACTATCTCCTTGAAATAATGGCTTCTTTGTTGCCATTTCAGCAAAAATACAACCAATACTCCAAACATCAATACTACAAGTATATCTATTAGCACCTAGAAGAATTTCAGGTGCTCTATACCACAATGTTACAACTTCATGAGTATAAACTCGGACTGGGATTCCAAATGCTCTTCCCAAGCCAAAGTCAGCTACTTTGATTACTCCTTTTTTGTCTATCAAAAGATTCTGAGGTTTTAAATCACGATGAAGTACTCTTCGTTGATGACAAAATAAAATTGCTCTAGTAATCTGAAATAATCACATGATAATAAGATTAACGTTGATACACTGACATAAATTTGACTTACTTGGTATAAATATGATTTGACTAAACTAGGTTCCATGAGTTTCCCATTTCCTAAAGTATCCATGTATTTTTTGAGATCCATAGTAAGATATTCAAAAATGAGATAAAGTTTTGATTCTTCCATTAAAACATCCATAAGACTAACTATGTTAGGGTGCTTGAGTTCTTTTAATAGAGATATTTCTCTAATGGCTGTTGATGGAACTCCTTCGTCTTCACTTTCTAATCGTATCTTTTTCATAGCAACAATTTCACCTGTTCTTTTATGTTTACCTTTATAAACTACTCCATACGTACCTGCACATTGATAAATAAAATTTTAATTAAACTGTAAATATATCATTGAAAGTATGTAACAGTATATAATAGCTCAGAAATTTTATAAGGATATGTCAAAATTATATGAAATAAAATGCTTAGTAGCTTAAGAGACTGAATAACACATTAGAATGAAACAAAAATGATAAGATTAAATTATAAAAAAATATACAGAAGCAAACAAAACAAGCTAGTACCTTCTCCAATCTTTTCAATTCTGATGAAATTATCCATATTGTTGTTTGACAATCACAATGAAGATGATACCATAAATTCACAAATTACACGAAATTGAATCTTCTATATTTATTCAAGAGTTTCCAGTACATTAGAAAAATCGGCAGCTGCAGCGAACAAACCGAACACAACGATGCTACTAGCAGCAACCACAAACGGCTGGATTCAAATGCCAAGACGCCATATTGCAGAGGATCACATTCAAATGTTAAAGAAACGGAAGACCGAACGGACTCTGCCAACCATAGAAAAGTTCATTACCGCCAAAATAGTTGATTGGATTGGGTTGTAATATCCCCGCCAGGGGTCTTGGCGCGCGCCTCGAGCCAATTTAAATATATGCACTGTTGATACTGGTAGCATGCAGATTTATGTTGAGCCAGATTAATATTTTTTTAATAGCGTGTTGAAAACAAACTAAAGGTTTCTAGGTTTAAAAGAGAATAGACTAAAGTCTAGTCAATATATATATTACACGAAAAATATAAGCTAGGAAAATACAAGGTGTTAAAGTTGACGGATTGGTGCAATTGCGACTGTTCGTTGCAATCGCGCGTGCGTGGGAAGCAAAAGGGCGTCTCCTTTCTGAGCGCTAACGAATTGGAAGGCTGATTTTCACTTTGCTTTTCTCTCAGCCTCGGCCTTTTTTCCTTACTCCCAGATGGCCCACACATGCAACGTGGTTGTTTACAACAGCAACAACACTTGGGCTTTGCAGCAGAAAACTTATCAAATTCCGACGAGTTGAGACTCGTCGAGAAGTATTGTTTTTCTTTTCGAATCATTACTGATGACCCGCCGTGTCGTAGCGTTCAAGTGACCATTTTATGAGCGTTCTAATTCCGAAGTTTTAAGTATTGGAAAACGAAAACATATTTAACGAGCATTAAAACTATGAAAACTACACAGCTAAGAATGATACGTTAAAATACCAAGCAAAGAAGTTTTAAATATTCGCGCGGCTGCCTTACTATAATTGTGTAAAAACCACGTGACATAGTAGGCCAATCAATGAAGATTTTTTCGTGACAACCGACTATGCAAAGTTGGTTATTACTATGCGTAGATGAAAACGTAGATGTTTCCAACTCGCAACTTTCATTTAATAACTTTTTACAGCCGTTTGAAATTTGCTAAAACATGTTTTTCGCGTATAAAACCAAAACTATTGAAGTTAGGTATGTACCTCAATGGAATAAGTTATAGATAATAGAATTATCTTTAAAATGAGCTATCGCTCATCTCAATCGAGTAATTAATAATCAATATAATTGCAAAAAACATCAAAATTGATCAAAAAAGGTACCATTTCAAAAATTCATATCTCCACATAGAGTGATATTGAAAGAATTAGCTTATGATATTTTGTAGATTGCATTGTCTACTTCATGTATGCTAAATCTGAGCTATATATAATTATTACTTTCGGCACTACAGTAATGGCAATTAAACCTTTTTTTTAGTACATCTTGCATAATGCCCTGTGGCTCAGCCGTTCGAGTTATACATTATTTGAAAAAAGTTTTTTAAAGCTCAATAATCAAACTACCACTTTGTCATGTGAACTTTTGTTCTAAAATCAGTTTAAAAGGGTGAAATTTGCCGTTGAATATCGGGCAAAATGCGCCCGAGCGTCAAAAAAAGCGAGCGATGGGGGATACAAATCCCGCGGAGGGGAAGTATATATGTATAGTAATAGAAAAGCCAGGCGCTCAGCGTTTTACTTTAATATTACTTATTTTGATATATATATATTTACGCTATTTTACTGAAATTTTTTTATTTTTCAAGTTAATTAAGTACGCATTCGATATTTGTTAAATAAATAATACGAAACATATAAATATATGTGTATATTTTATTATAATGTAAGCAAATAGTAATTTATATTTATTTATAATACATTTATCCCCATAAAAAATGTACTTATTTCATTAACTTTTAAACAAAATACATGTTCATTTTTGGTAATTATATATTTGTATTTATCACATTATAAGTTTCCCTAAAACGTAACAGTTATTTTTGAATGTACAGTATATACAGTATAGTATATACATATAGAATATGCTAGTTCTGGAGCGGTTCAGGCCAGCTGCTCAGCTCCTTTGGAAGATTCAGTCTGGCTGGTTGTGTTCTAGCTATTCCGAAATCTGCAATTATTAATTGTTATTGGTCATAGCACCTTCTTTAAATCAACCACATAACATTTAGGTAAGTTTCTGAAATTTTATTTATATTTAATATATAGACTTTAATTTATATTTAATATTTATATTTAATATATATTTGTTTTGTGTAGAATCGTAGAATAAAAGTGGAAGTGTAAATGTTTCTTTAAATTTAAATTTTAGAAATATAATATATACTTCATACAGTATACAGTACAGTACAGTATATACTTATATATATATATATATATATATATATATATATATATATATATTCGCGATAGTAGACAGTTCAACGTAAATTTTAGAAAGAAGTAAGCAGCTTAGAACACTGGATCTGTAATAAAGGATGTCCTTTCAAAGACAAATGAAAGTTTGACCGTTCGAGAATGATCCTGCTACCTGCTATTCATAAAATTTATGATAAATAGGATTAGAGATATAGACATAAATTAGTATACCCCTTGAAAGGCAAGTGAAAGTTTGACCGTTCGAGAAGAATCCTGCTACCTGATATTCATTAAATTTTTGCGTGCGGTGGTCGGGGTATCCTAGCGTGGAGACGAAAAATTGATTGAGCTGGTAAAAATCGAATCGCGCCGTCAACATTGACTTATCTCTGCTTCTAATTAACCAAATTTGACGTTTCTTTTTTAAATTGATATAGCAAATCTTCACAAACTCAAATATGACATTACATTAATTGTATTCTTATTAGTTAACGAGTTGTAGTGTAAGCATGCTTTTTTACATAATTTAATAACTTAATAATTTAATTATTTGTTAGATAAAGTATATTTTTATAGAATATTTATCAAAAATGTATGAAGACATTAAAAATTAACATTTTTAGTCGCAGAAAACGTTTATCAAAAAAAAATTTGTATTTTTGTTTTGCCGCTACAGTCGCGCTAAATTGACTCTAACGATTTTAAACTATGCTACTTTGTTGCAAATTTAACGCTCTACAACTTTATTCCAGTAAATTATTTTCGTATCTCTAATAGATTTCGAGTAAACAGCGCGTAAGTAAAAAAAAGTGCCGTTTTTCGCTTTTTTTAGCTAAAAAAATGTATATTGCTAAACGTAAAAAGAAATTCGAAGTGACGGATAAGGGGTTTTAATATGCACCTTATTTAAAACTGATTCTACTGGACTGCTCCTTTCCTATTTATAAAATTTACTTGAAGTTATTGTAATTACAATATATTAATATATTAATATATATAAATCATTTTTATATTCATATTAATATGTATGTTACAATAAGTTCAGTACAATTAAATCAATAAATTCAGCGGTGTACTATGTACAGCTTGTGAAACTGTTCTAATATGTTATTCATAACTTACAGATAATTAAGTTGTCTTCCATCTTGCAACTTTTCATTATGGCTGCAACTGACGACTTCCACAACATAGCAGGACATTCATCAGAGGAAGAAAATGACGTTGAAATCCCTGCTCTAGAAGACATCAGTGAACAGCCAGGCGAAAACGATGTAAACTTTTGCATACTATGTGATAAGGTACTAGATCCTAATAAGTCTTGTACAGTTAAACAACGGGGTATTGAAAAATTAGCAAGCGTTAGCCGTCGAAGAAAGGACAATAAACATGTAGATTTGGAAAAAGTCCAAGAAATTACTGTACATAGAGTTTGTCAAACAATGTACGTTAGGGAATCGAATATAAAAGCGGCACTGAAAAATGCACTCAAAATTGTTGAAGTAGGTAGAAAACGTAAAGAGGAAGGGCTTCAATTTGATTTTTCTACGTATTGTTTATTCTGTTCGCAAAAATTTTATAATGTGGACAAATATTCTCGTGTATTGCAACAGAGTACTATAGATAGCATTATAGCGCAGCTTGAAACGTATCAAGAAAATGAAATTAATTTAATGATATCGTCACGTGTATGTAATTTAAAAGACAAGAACGATGAATATTACACTCAGGCAAATGTTTTTTATCATCGACGTTGCTTAAGTAAGTTTTATTTATATAGTCCAACAAACGTAATAGGTAAACCTATAAGTGATGAAATGTCTCATTTAATATCATATATTATTAATTTTTTATTAGAAAATAGCGAAGAGTGCCAATTTTCGTTAAAAAAAATTTTAAATCAATATATTAGTATTCACGGGTCTGCAGATTTACCACCGCTTAATCGTATTGAAGATGCTCTAAAAAAACATTTTGAAGATGAGATAGTTACTTATACAGTTACCAATGATCGAATTATTTGTTTGAAAAGTTTGGGAGGATTATATAGTGAAAAAAATTTTTATGATAATCGTAAAAGTGACCCGCGAGAAGAAAAACTACGTATAATTACAGAAGCCGCAGAATTAATATTGCAAGATATTCGTTCAATGAAATGCGATATTGATAGTTATAAATCGCCAAATACATTTTTAAATAATGTTAACGAAGAAATTCCAGAAGCACTGAAAGTATTTCTCGACGTATTATTAAAAGCACAAACGTACTCCTAAAAAAGGCCCTGATTTCAAATTAGAAAATAAAATTAGTACTTTAAGCCATATTTTAATGTCTATCGTTAGACCATGGTCGTTTTCTTCTTCAATATTACTAGCACTTTCTTGTATGATTCACACTAAATATGCTGCTAAAGGTATCATAGATTGTCTTCATAATTTAGGTCTTTGTGCTTCATATTTTGAGACAACTCGATTTGAAACATCGATTGTCAACTGTCCAGAAACTATAGATTTCATCTCCGATTCGTATTTGCAATTCGTATATGACAATGCAGATCACAATACTTGCACTATTGATGGAAAAAATACTTTTCATTCTATGGGCGGTATAATGTGTGTGACGCCATCAGCGTCACTATGCTCAAATACTTGTATTCCACGTTTAAAAGGAGCCTTTTCGTTTGATTCAACTAATACATTCGGGTTTACACCATTACGTACTTTTAATAATAAGAAGCCTTTTAATTTGAGTTCTATAACTGTAGATGATTTAGCATTAGATAGTATCGATATAATTGGTAGATTAAAACCTATCGATTTGTTGTGGTTCTATGGAAAATTTAGTGCACCACAACAAACACCAAACTGGAATGAATTCATGAATAAATTTCATTTATTGAATGATGAATTTGATACATCAAAAATTATCCCTTTGCCATTTATTAATGCTCCTCCAAGCGACCATAAAACTATATTAACCTCATTAATCGATGCTAGGCAAAGAGCCGATATTAACAAACAAAAACATTGTTTTGTTACGTTCGACTTGCCATTGTTTATGAAAGCAATGGAAATCGTTTCCTCTATTGATTCCGATAACGATCCCCATAATCTAAAGTCAGTATTTCCTCGTTTAGGCGGCTTCCATCTATTAATGTCTTATATTTCATCTGTCGGATATATAATGGGTGGAAGTGGCCTTAAAGAAGCTTTTAGTTCAATTTATTTTGAATTATCTGCTATTAAGCTCTTATTGGCCAAGCTTTTTCTCGAGCTGTGAGAGGCCATCTGTTATGCCAAGCAGCACTTGCTTCTATCATTTTTAAACAAATAGATCTTGATGATAATGAAAAAAATTTTTTAAATCAATCTCTATTAGACGTAGGAGAGGATAATTTTAACAATAAACTTGAATCTGTTATAGTGTAAAATATAAAGGAAAAATTTATAGAACGCGTCAATTATCTAAAAAATAATGGACCAACGTGTCAACTGTGGGTGCAATATTTTGAATTAGTTTATTTAATTCAACGATTTATAGATGCCGAACGTTCTGGCAATTTTCCGTTGCATTTGGAAATTATTAAATTAATGATTCCAATTTTTTTAGCTTCGGGGCATCATTTGTATGCCAAAGCTAGCTTATTGTATATACAGCATATGCTAAAATTAAAAGATGTTATGGACATTGTTGAGTATGATAAGTTTTGTAATCAGGGCTACTTCACGATTAGGCGGTCTAACAGATTTTGGTCTGGCATATGGTCAGATATGACCATAGAGCAGATGTTAATGAGGCCAATCAAATGTACTGGAGGTTTGACAGAATCGGTTGTAGGAAAATGGGTTATGTCTAGAGAAGCTGTATTAGAAGTTAGTAGCGCGATGGAAAATTTCTGTAACGTTACGTTTCCCACGTCTGAGCAACACGTAGATAATAGAGTGTCTCGTATTAATCGAGATGCTGATGATTTAAATAAACTATTACACTTTTTCGAAATCTATAATCCATTCCCAGACACAGACAAAAATATTAGTATATTTTCTGGCTATGTTGGTGATTTGTCTTCTGTAAATTGTTTTAAAGCTTTCGAAATCGGGAATGCATTAATGAAAAATACAGCTCATAAAACATATTCATCCTTAAAATTTAAGCTGAGCAGTAAAGTTGTTAATTTACAAACCACTAATACACATTGTCACGAAGAATCTTGTTTCAATTTTGAAAAAAACATTATCAGATGCGATAGTGATGACGAAAATGATGAAATAATAGAATGCGAAACTATAATTGATAGTGTGTGTGATAATCTAGATAATGTAATAGACATCGACCAAGTACACTGCGCTAAAAGATGTAGATTTAATGAATAACTTTAATATTTAAATTAAGTATCTATTGTATTACCATAATAATGTCATAATTAATTAAGTATAATGAAACAAATTAAAATTTATTGTAAATAACATTATAAATATAATTATTATAAATAATATCTCAAACTGTTAAATTATATGAGAATTAATGAATATGTAATGAATATATAATAAAATATACATATATATTTATATGTTTCGTATTATTTATTTAACAAATATCGAATGCGTACTTAATTAACTTGAAAAATAAAAAAATTTCAGTAAAATAGCGTAAATATATATATCAAAATAAGTAATACTAATGTAAAACGCTGAGCGCCTGGCTTTTCTATTACTATACATATATACTTCCCCTCCGCGGGATTTGTATCCCCCATCGCTCGCTTTTTTTGACGCTCGAGCCCATTTTGCCCGATATTCAACGGCAAATTTCACCCTTTTAAACTGATTTTAGAACAAAAGTTCACATGACAAAGTGGTAGTTTGATTATTGAGCTTTAAAAAACTTTTTTCAAATAATGTATAACTCGAACGGCTGAGCCACAGGGCATTATGCAAGATGTACTAAAAAAAAAGGTTTAATTGTCATTACTGTAGTGCCGAAAGTAATAATTATATATAGCTCAGATTTAGCATACATGAAGTAGACAATGCAATCTACAAAATGTCATAAGCTAATTCTTTCAACATCACTCTATGTGGAGATATGAATTTTTGAAATGTTACCTTTTTTGATCAATTTTGATGTTTTTTGCAATTATATTGATTATTAATTACTCGATTGAGATGAGCGATAGCTCATTTTAAAGATAATTCTATTATCTATAACTTATTCCATTGAGGTACATACCTAACTTTAATAGTTTTGGTTTTATACGCGAAAAACATGTTTTTGCAAATTTCAAACGGCTGTAAAAAGTTATTAAATGAAAGTTACGAGTTGGAAACATATACGTTTTCATCTACGCATAGTAATAAACAACTTTGCATAGTCGGTTTGTTGTTAATATTAATGTCACAAAATACCTCATTTTTGGCTTCATTGATTGGTCTATACGCAGAATATATATATGTCACACACTCTTTCAAGGGCCTATCGCTTCGTTTCGTTTCATTTAATGACCGTGGGTACCTGAGAACTCCGATGCGCCTATCGCGTTAAAAACTGTTTTTGATTTCAAAAAATGCAAGATTCATGAGAACTCTTACAATATAACTAAAAAATTACCAAAACGTTAATTGATTAATATTAAATTACGTAAATAAAGTTTAGATATATTTATAAACTTAAGTACTGCCATATTTATTACAATTTTCAGAAATAGAACTTCATAATAATCGATAGAACTTTTGACATGAAATACGTGAAGTTTTTATATTAACTGATAATTTATAATGAATTGATTTGAAATAAATTGGAGTTGATATAATGGTTTGAATTTAACTAAGCAACATATTTTTAACACAATTAAGTATTTGTTTTTATTGAAAAACACTATTACATTTAATTTTTACATTTTCAAAACCTTAATTTTCAAACAAACTAAATAATATCTTTAATTAATTAGGAATAGTACATGTATTTATAGCAAATAAAAACTTGATATGACCTTTAGAAATGCTTCAAGGATCCTCTTATTGAAGTAAAAACATTTGATTTAAAAATTATTTGTAATGTCGAAGTGTTATTAAGAAAACTATAAGTTTTATAAATAATATAAAGCATTTTTTGTCTTTCGCGACAACTAAACTCATCTCAAAATTTGCAAATGATTTGAGATTTTGAGCTAATTGAAACTCAAGGAATACATACAATACAATTGATGTTGAAAAAAGTTCTATACAAACATATAAGAATGAAAGTGTACAATCTTATCGCGGAAATGTAAAAGTTCCACTAGAATAACCAAGTCCCACTCCTCTTTGAGTATGTGTTGTTGCGCGAGCCACTTCATATTGATGTTCCATGTTGTGAAACATCTCTTCTTGTTTCTTTAAAATGTCAGGTTTCGTACCAGGGGTTATCGGCGTGGGTGTATCTTCTTTAATTCCCATAAGCCTTTTGAATTTGGCCGTCACTTTGCCATCTTGGTCATGAGTAAAAGTCGTGCCAACCCAAGTGTTTGCCGTAGATACTGCAGCTGTAGGAGTCTTAGTGTCATCAGTTTTCTGTAAATTTTCAAAATTTTACATGGTTTTACACGAAAGCCTTAAGGATAATATATCAAAATCAATTTACGGAAATATGACAAGGTTCACCTTATTTGCCCATAATAATTTCCTTTTTTGAATTTGTTCGGCATACTTTCCTTGAGTTGCCGTTGCTAATGGATTATAATAATTCTGTTCTTGAGCAGTCATGAGATTCTCGCCATCTTTAGCTTTCAGCTCGATGCCTAATTTTTCTAATTGCGCAAGTTTACTTTTGTTCCTTTCTTCTCTAAAATTAAATGGTTTGTGAGCTACTCTTTCTTTCGATCGCGATCGGGACCTAGATCGTCCACGTTCTTTATCTCTGGAGTGCTTATCATCCTTGTGCCGATCTTTATTATGTTTCTCATCCTTTGAGTAGCGTCTATCCCTGTCCCTATCCCTGCTTCTATCCCTCACCCTATCCCTATCTCTCTCACGTTCTCTGTCCCTATCTCGATCCCTCTTCCTTTCTCTATCGTCTTTTCTTTCTCTGGACAATAATTTTCAATATTCATTAATCAATATAAAGAATCAAAAAATTTGTAAAGTAAAAACGTTCACCTGTCTCTTCGATCATCACGATGACCTTTTTCGCTTCGATCATCGTCTCTACTAGACTTTTCTTTTCGCCGATCACTGTCTCGAGATCTCCTTTCATCATCTCGTGATTTTTTGTCATCGTCTCGATATTTTTTATCATCGTCTCTGTGTTTTTTGGTATCTTTGTCTTTGTGATCATGTCCTCGCCTTTTGTCATCATCTTTTCTGTCAGAACTGTGCTTGCTACTTTTATCAGATCTTTCAGCTCTTATTTCATCAAACTTTGATTTGTGACTATCATTTGAATGTAAAGTACGCTCTTCGTGATTGGTTCGCCTGTAAAACGATTACTTTCTGCAGGCACATACCACACAGATTCGAATTATTATATATTTCAATTACGAATCGTGCTATTGGATGAATGCATGTTATGTACATGCCAATATCAAAAATGGAAATCAGTATGACTACAATAACTTGCATTACAATTTCAAATTAGCCATCATAGACTTTATGATTGCAAACCATATCTGTTTCCACTTTTTGATTACCAATACACTCAAGAATATATCTGAACTCTTTGAAGATGACACTATAATCTATTTTCTTCATAAAATACACATTTAAAAACTATGCAATACGATATCTGGCAATAAATATTGCAGTTTTTTAAAAAATTGTGCAGTAAATGATATCTTATTTTCTATTTATGGAAGTTAATATAAAATCATGTTATGTACAAAGCTCATTTTAAACAGCAAATTGTTTGTAATGTATTATAAAAATGTAGGATGATGTAAGACAAGTCTTTGAATAACAATATTTTTGTTAAATATGGAGAAAAATATCATTTAAATGTATACATAGAAAGATATTGTATTTTCTGAGGAGTATGCTAAGTTATTTTTATGAGTAATTTTCTGCAGAAAACTCACCAGCAAAGTACTCATAAAATAAATAGATAAAACAAATAAATAAAACAAATTTGTTAACAAATATATTAATACTAGCATTTCAATAATAAGCATAGTATATTAAAAACTAAATCTTCCATTTTACTTTAAAGATTTAAAAGTTATGAAGAATAAGTATGTGCATGTTCTAACTATTTTAATTGTAAAACGTGTACTTCTATTACACAGTAAGAAAAGAATAATTTTCTAGTAAGAAAAAAAATATGATATTAAATATAAAACTTTAAAAATAATATCTTACAGCGCAAATGAATTGAATGCATAATATCTTGGTGAATAAATTCAAAGAGTATGTAATTTTAGAGTTAGGAAATAAAATTAACAAACCAGTATACCTCTGGTCTGAAAATGATGAGCTGGTTTTTGTGAATTCTATTTGATGAGATGTATTTGGCCTAAGTGGTGGTGTTTTCCCTTGATTTGAATCATCTGAAGAGTCATTATTGTTGCTGTCCTGTAGAAATAAAAGTTTTCGAAATTTAAATTATTAATGAAGTTACTCACACGCTCATTTTTTATGAATTAATCCAAAGCCAATTTGTGCCCTGATTGTATTGCTAAGTCACTGTTATAGAATGTGTGTTTAAAACAAGGGAAATCCATCTTTTGATATATAAGTTATTTTCAATATTTATTATCAAAAAGAAAAACGATTCCACTGTTTATTTTTAAACAAAATAAAACACAATTAATTAAAACAAACTAAAAATCAGTATTACAATTAAATCTGATATCTTTGAACAAAAATTTATTGTTGAAACTTTTGTTCACAATTCAATTGAATCTTATGAACCATACCAAGATGCCTGCTATCCAAATTAAATAAATGCCCATGGTCACAATTTTTTATCCTTGTCTAATGTGTTTCCATGACGATCATTTTGATTGTTTTTTTTATAATTTACCTTCTGTCTGCATCATCTACTTACCTAAGTCTTCAGAATAGGACTTGGGGTAGTCTTGAAAGACCCTCATACAGCATTGACCTTGCCAAGGTGTGTAGATATTGTATCATGAATTACGAACAGAGCTACGTGTTAATATAATCTCTCGAAATGGTACTAATCCCATTTATTTATAAGTACTTTTAAAATAAAAGATACGTTGCTTTTAATTTTCCTAATTTTTCAGTTATTTATATTTTTGTTGGTATGGATTTGAAAATTGCTATAACTAAAAGTAGGAAAATTGTAGGTCAATAGGAAAAGTATAGGAATATTGTGGACAATTAATAAAAAAGATACAGAGTAATGTTTGTGGCTTTTTCTAAACAGGGCCTATACACAACATTAAAAGTTTTCTACCTAACTCTCTTACTTTTTAACTATTAAAAGTAAAAGTATAAAAAAGTTAATTTTTCATAATACCTCACTCATATCCATTGGAACAGAATCGTAGATAGCATCGCATGCTTTCTTGTTGTTCATACTAATATTGTTGGTTATAGTTGATATCTGCAAAATTATGAAATAAGTCTATATCAATTGATGATTGAATTAAAGATTTTCAAGTCCATTATAACATTTTTGAGAGATTTAATTTAAAAAATACTTATATATGAATAAAAATGGTAAGCTCAACAGAACTTATAAACTCCTGTATTTTCAAAAAAAGGATCATTTACTAGGCAAAGAAACATTAAAACATTAACTCTTTATACATAGATATGTACATTAACTGTCATTTCTGATTCAGATAAGAAAATATATCTCTAAGTAAAAATTTTCTTACAGAAAATCAATCAACTTCAGAAAATTCAATATATAGGTACAGACGTGTTAAAATTACAACATAGTATTGATCAGACAGAAACTAACCTGTTTCATCGTAAAAAATACACTTGAGACCAAAAACGAATTATGTAAATATACACCCAGAAAATTTTAAAAGCTTTGTAAATAAATAAACGTGCTATCTTGAAAGCAACATGGCGGACTTAATCTGAACGAAAGTAGGAATTGTAAAGAATAGTCAGGAGACGTCATAATATTTCGTTCTGGCACATTATGATTGGAAGGATCATTTTGCTAATAAGCTAATGATATTGTGGAAGAAAAAAAGGGACATCACTTACCTTAGGATCATTAGAATCGTTGCTGTTTTCGCCGTCACTGCCGTAGTTCATGAGCGAATTCATAATGGCGGTTCGCTTCAAGGGATGAATATCGAACAAGTGTTGGGTTAATACACAGCTTGACACCAATGACTAGAAAGTGCACAAATTCCTCGATACCTTAAGATATTGTAGCTTCATTTATTGCTGACTCTTATAGACACAAACTACGTTATGCGTTTATCTTCGCAAAATCTAAACTCACATATACATACAGTTACCTGTTTGTTGTGTGGAATAGCTTGTACGCATGCGCATGTAGTCACACAAGGAGAAAAGAACGTAGAGAACAAGTAGAGAATGTAGAACGTTACAAGCGGTATTGTCTATATTCTTTGCCACACACGCAGGCACAAACACGTACGCATAGTCTCTAACCGATACGATGTCAACACTTATACCTATGCCTATACTGCAGAATCTACATACAATAGATAGTTTATAATTAACTTAGAAATAAAAAAAAACAATAACGAACTTTGCATCAATTTGATTATATTTAAATAGCATTATACTTACTATAATATACATACATACATACATATACATGTAATAAAAATAGTTCGCATTAAATTATATTGGTTCGATGAAAATTATATATCTTTGCAAATTTATTTTGAGAATTAAATTATTATTATTATTAAGTAATGTAGTAATTAGTAGAAATATTTGAAAAATTACACTTTTCTCTACGTGTATAAAAATTATTTATTGGTATAGTTCGAAGAATGATGGTAATTTCAATATGCATAATATATACCATATTATTAATTATGATTAAGAAAAATCAATTTCAAGAAAATAAATAATAATTTTTTTATCAGCATTAACCTGTTCATATTCAGTTTTATAAAGTGCTAATTGCAGTAAAAATAAAATATGTCTATCGCTACAATAAATAACTGGTACTTATTAGTCGTTCATATATAATTATGCAAGCTTGCTTGCGTTATATATTTCCAAACTATAGATATTTAGAATATATAAGTATGTAGATTTTTTACTTGGCATTAATTCTGTGGTCAGAATTTTGAAAATTTTAGAAATGAATAGATTGTAATTGATTGAATTTATTACAGACGTATGGACAACCATAGTCGCACTACGTGATATTGCCGACCAAGAATGAAACAGCATTTCGATGATTTCACACAGTGCCTGGTTTTTTCACATATTGTCTACTGTATTCCTTTCTGCACAACCCTGTAAATTCTTAGCAGGCCACAGAACCAAATTAACTCTCTAAAGGTTGATTCTTGTCTATGTCAATCAGAGCAAAACATCAAAATCACCGATTGTTTACACAAATAGTATACTTGTTATTTATATAGAAACATGTATGCATAGTTTTTAATCGAAGTGTTGATTATTTATCGAGTTATAAATTTTAAAAAAGTTTAACGATTTCTTTTTAAATCGATATCTCGGAGTCTCTTAAAGATACTAGGGATATGTTTTTTTTAATACGTAGAAAAACTTGCTTTTAAAAGACATCAATAGCAACAACAAAAATTGTTTATTTATCCTAAAATTATAAAAATTTTTACGAAAAATTGCATTTATCTCAAAAATTAATCTTTTAATTCCAAAAATGCTTGCACTATTGAATTCTATTTATGTTTGATACGATGGTCACCGATACGCTCAGCAGCGAACAATCGCACGTATTGTGGTTTATCTGAGTCGTGGGTTTCCCCGGGTTTTGCCCAATTCTGTGCGTATAACCCAACCCATGTCGCACAGCTGTGTCAAGGCCAGCACTGACCTGCGAGGGTCTTACAGTTTAAATGTGCTGCAATTTCCCTTCCCTCTCCCTTAATAACAAGACAAGAGGCGGAGGATAGCGGTGCGTTCGAATTTAAGTGTTTTCTTTTTAATTGAAATATACTTAGACCATCTGTTCGGATCAGAAAAAACTTTCAATCAACTGTCGATTGAGCTGGCCATGCTGAAGCAAAGAGTCTCGGAAAACGTAGTAAAATTTTCAAACAGAGTTAAAACAATAGCGCTAGAGTTAGTAAGCGCAGCGGTATAAGTTAGGATTTTTAAACCAGCTAGAAAAGGACAAAGTCAAATTTTTCATCCGCGGCTTACGCTAGGTAATTAAAACGCGAATGGGACCGGTGAAAAATCTTGAAGAAGCATTGGCAAAAGCGGTAAAGATTGATTGCGAATTCGCAACATAAGAGCCCGACGATATTACTCAGACAGTATAAGTACTGGCAGAAGCAAAAAAAGAACTAGCAAACATAAAAAGTGTAAATGTCGGGAAAGCAGATAGCTCACAAGCATGTCAAATTTGTAAGTTAACAAATCATTTAGCGGATACTTGTTTTTACCGTAACAATGGGGGTACGAAATCCAGAAATGAAAGATTTGTTAATAATGGAGAGCAAAAGCAAATGAATAGTCAAAATTCAGCCAATAGAGAAAGAATTAATCAGCAAGTAGCCCCGCCCCAAGTGAGTCAGAACTCCGCACCAAGAGCCTAGCCAAGAGTGATAGCGTAGTGAACGAGTTATTTAGTAAAATTATAAATTATGTCCGAGACAAACTTGCAAAACTAGATGTTAAGGTTATAGTGTGCACAGGACAGGTAAAACATCCCTCACCTAACGAGAGAGCAGGTATTATACAAGAGGCATATTGTTCAGCAGTAGGGGGACAAGCGGGAGTTAATAAAACGTTTAATCGCATTCGTCACAAATCAAACTGGGAACATCTTAAAGAAGACTACCTTAGCTTCGTGCAACAGTGTGTCGATTGTACAATGAAAAAACTAGTACGTGAAAAAACTAAACAAAAGAATTCGCGTTAAATCGCTACCGCTTTTGCCGTAGCTTCTTCAAGATTTTTCGCTGGTCCCATTCGCGCTTTAATCACCCAGTGTAAGCCGTAGATGAAAAACTGACTTTGTCCTTATCTAGCTGGCTTGAAAACCCTAAATTATAACATCACAGGCTTCCCAACAGCCGTCTAAAAAATCATGTAACGGAATACAATATCCGTCATATTTAGGAATGAAATCTACAATATCTTTCAAACCTACATTTCTCATAGGGCTAATTGTAGAATTTTGCACTGTACGCGTTGAATCTTGTAGTGTTGAATGATAAATCCGTATTGTATTGGCAAATGATCTGAATGCCGACTTGGGTGTAAAATTAGTACATTACGATACAAGTGTCTGAAACGATGGATTCTGGGGGCCTATTCTGAAAAAAAATTTTAGCACGGGGCCTATTCTGAAAAAAAATTTTAGCACATGTCATAAGCATTTATCACATCTAAAGTGATTAATTCTGTGGTAAACTGAAGTGACAAACTGATTTACCACAAAATTTTTTTTCAGAATAGGCCCCCTGGCACGGCGTGAAGCACGAGCGCGCGCAGCAATGCGCTTGCGCTGATCGGCTAATGCGTTGTTTGTTGGCTACGTATTATAGAGGATTTAAGATAATTAAGGACTTGATCTGTGAATATTTAAGTGCAAAAATTTTATAAAATGATAATCAACCGAAACATTATTTCTAATGAATAAAAATATTTCCTTGAAAAAAGGTTCAACTATTTTAACTCCATATAATAGCTGTATTAATATATAATTGATTTATTTGAATACTTTAATATGTACACATGAGTTTTCGGTAGTACTCATAACGTTACGACTTCGATTATATAATATAATGAATAAAATATAAACATAGCTTATAACATATATTTGTATGATGAACATTGTTAAAAAAACATGAAAATGCCGATTATAATATAGTAATCATTTATGTAAATGAGATGGTTTTGTTTGATTTTTACAGACTAATTTCAATTGTACTATACTTTATACTAAGCATTATACAGCCGTTGATAACTATATGACTCTATCACTATGCCATATTAACTCATTTCGACCGAAAACGCCACTTTCGGTACACCGCCGGCTCTTGAGCGCTCACAACTATTGTTGCAGGCGTAAAAAAATTGTGAAGGCTATATACTAAAAGTTTAAGAGATGTTCTTTCTGATAACAATTTTGCAAAAATTTATTTATCCCTGTAAAATACAGTTTAAAAAAAACAACAAATTTTTCACACCTCTTTTTTAAAATCGACTTTTCGAAAGGTTTTTAGTATGTAATGATATTGGCACTTGACTAGCCAGTGGAATAAATGTTTCAACTTGATGAATCATGATTTCCGGATCCATTTTTCACCTAGGTGTGTCCAAAATGGCGCTTTGAAGGCTTAATTTTTACCGTTATATTCATGAATTTTTTCACTAAAGCACTATGAGCTTATGAAAAAAATACCAAAAAAAAGTTCTTAGACTTTTTCTTAGATTTTGCAAAAATTGACCAATTGTAAAAACAAAAAATTTTATTGAATCCCTTTGAAAAAATTCCAGCGTATTCATTACATAATTCTAAGAACTTTTTTTTGGTACTTTTTTCATAAGTTCATAGTGTTTTAGTAAAAAAATTCATTAACGTAACGGTAACAATTAAGCCTTCGAAGCACCATTTTGGAAACCCCAGGTGAAAAATCAATCCGGAAATCATGATTCGTCAAATTGAAACATTTATTCTATCGACTAGTGAACTGCCAATATATTATGACATACTAGAAACCTTTTGAAAAATCAATTTTAAAAAAGAGGTGTAAAAAATTCATGTTTTTTTAAACTGTATTTTACCGGGTTAAACAAATTTTTGCAAAATTTTCATTAGCACCATCAGGAAGAACATCTCTTAAACTTTTAGAATATAATTTTTTTTGACATCTGTAATATTAGTTATGAGCGCTCAAAGATTGGTGTACCGAGAGTGGAGTTTTCAATCGATACAGGTTAATGACATACCAAACCTTTCTTATTTACAGAAATACAAATTGTTTCAAAAACTATTCCATAAAAAAATTATGAATATGTTATTATTTTTTTGAATGATTGTATCATATAGAAATAGTAATAGATATTCACCTTTTTACATATATGCGAAACCAAACATTTTGTGACACTAAACAAAAATTAGTTGCCCCGATACCGAGCATGTTTGTAGAAAAAACCAGATATATTAGAGAAATGATTAGTACTGTCAAATTAATATGAAATCACAAAATGCGTATTATGTGAAAGGACACAATGGCACTTATGCAATGCATTGCAATAAAAAATAATGTCAACCTTGGCTTCTGTACAACTCTTTTTTGTATTTTTTATTCCAATAACGGCAATTATTTTGCTGATTTCAATCTTACATAATTTTACACAAATAGAATCGCTCGTTCATAAAATTTTCAAAAGACAGTTCTGTACAAGACAATCCGATAGAATCCAATATCCTACCATGAGACGTTATGTGGTAGTATTTGCATATATTTGCATATGTTATACGTGTTCATTGACTAAATCTAATGATCATCACTTTTTTAAAAATAAACATCTACCGTTGGCTTTGAATCTCGATTACATTATGCTCGAGGCATTGTTTAATACAATTGCTGCGCACGGTAGCTCAAAAATACACACATACTGTACAAAGAATATTTAACTTTCCGAATTTGAATATACAATGGCTACAGAAAGAAATGCAACGCTGTTTTTAACGTATTACCGATGTTACAAAGGAAGGCATTTTTTACTAAAAACTAAGACTTACATAGGCAATCAAGACGAAGCAATATTAGTATAATTGCAGCTAATCAACTTGCCAAGTTAACAATAAATTGCACAAATTGTCATAGAATGAGGCAAAAGAGGAAGTATACGAAAAGAAAGGTATTTAATTTCGTAATAAAAATGTACTTAAGCCTCCGTGCAATATTCACACGCCTTTCATTAAGTTTTTCTTTGTAGCCGTACTTTGTAACGGAGTCTTTTACATAAAAAAAAAATCAATAAATAAACTCGCTAGCAAAGGTTGCGATTGATCGTGAGACGATTGATCGATGTTACATATAAAACCGTAGCGATGTGATTGCACCGACAATAATTTGTTGAAGCCAAAACAATAACGATTTCAATGATTCTATACAGACATTTTAAACTAATTTATTCACAGTAGTATCGATAAAAAATATACTAAATAATAAAAATATATGTATATATATTTATTCTAGCCTTTCTAGCAAACGTCGTTCCAGGCTCATCAGATTACGTGCCAGTGCAATCGCAATAATGAAGGAATAAAATTCGAATATCAGTGACGAATGTTCGCAAGGCTTTCTCAATCGTTCAACGAGAAACGTGTTCCTTGGTTTGACGCGTTAAGCCAAAGGTCACTGCTGAGCACTTGATATTAAGACCGAAAATCACTAAGAGTTCGCACTGGGTGGTGGCCTTGGTCTATCATAGTCTCGACGGTAGTCTTTGTTTGCCCGCCACTCTCCAGTATAGCCGTCGTTGGAATAGTTGCGTCCTCCGGCGGTGGGCCCACTGCGATAGTGCCCTAGAGGAACGTCTGGTGGATAATTACTACCACCACTGTAGCTACCAGGACCTCCGTATCCATATCCTCCTCCGGGACCAGTTGGATAGCGGTAGTAGTCGCTAAAATTATTATACAATTAAAATAATAAAGCGTTTGTCGAGAAATAAATAAGTCTATATTAACAAATGACTTACCCGCCTCTTTTTTCATTCATGTGCATTCGGTCTCGATCTCGTTCTCTTTCGCGGTGATATCCTCCCGACATCCTGTTGTAGGACTCAAACCTGTCACGTTTATGATCAGCAAATCTGAAATAGCACTCACTTGTACATTACATAAATAAGATATTAAACATTATTGTGAAGTTGTTATAAATTAATTTATACCTTGCATCTCGTGGATCTCTATCCCTGGATGTCCATTCGTCATCTCTTCCACCACCGCTGTAATGTCCACCAGTGTAACTACCACTGTCTCTCCTCAACCTTTCATCTTTTATCCCACCAAGTCTATCGATACTCCGATCCCCATGGCTTCGGTCTCTATCTCTGTCTCTGTCGCGATCTCTATCTCTATCACGCTCCCTTTCTCTATCACGCTCCCTATCTCTTTTTGAATCTTTATATTTGGTATCTTTGAGTTCTTTGTTGTGGCGAGAAGAAGTGTCGGTACTGTTAGTTGTATTCTGCCCGGCTGTTACAGGTGTTATCGTAATTGCGCCAATTGTTAGAGAGGATGACGTTCCAATGTTCCCGAGCGTAGATGCAGAAATAACGTGCTTTTTGATTGGAGTCGTACTGTTTGAATTGTCCTCTGCATCATCTATGCGACGCTTTTGAGCTCGAACATCTTTGTTTTCTAAAAAGTTTTTTGAATTGTGCTTTTCGTTGGGCTAAAATGGTTGATATAACAAATTGAAAATGAGTAAAATAATGAATTTGAGTAATTGTATTGATTAAATAATTTACCTTTGGAGGATGATCCTCTTTCTTATCAGGACTTGATGTTGCACTGATACCTCCATCGCGATTTTTAGTTGCATGTTTGTACAACTTGTAAAGTTTTTTAGCATCAAATTCGGTAAATTTTGACACAAAATACCATAGATTACTTCGCCATTCTTTGATTTTTTCTTGATCTTTGTACTCTGCAAGGCAAGTATTTATTTGATTGCCGATTTGTATGAGACATTGCCGAGTGTGGGCTACTTGTTCTGTTTGAGATAACGATTGATCTGGTCTATCTAAAGCTTTAAGGGCTTTCTTCACAGGTCTCATTTTTTCTTTACACTAAAAATTAAACGGTTAAAATTAAACGAGCATAATGCAGTCTTTTTCAAATTAATAATTTAAAACATTATAAAGTTAAAAATAAGAATTAGTTCAATACCTCGTTAAATATAGATGGATCTAAATCCCCCAAAACATCTAAAGCTCTGGGCTCATTATTAGCTGTAAAGTGCATTGGTCCAGATTGCTTTGCTTTCTTATTTTTTTTAGTTTCTTTCTTTTCTTTTTTCGCTTTTTTCTCTTTCTTTTTATCCTCTACCACAACATCATTTTCTTCTTTAATTTCTTTCTTTATAACTATCGGCTCATCTTCTTTTTTTATTGGCTACGATATTACGAACATTGATTAGATAATTTGACTTTATTAAAGAAAATTCAATACTACATACCTTATCATTTTTTGGTTTGTGTTTTTTCTCATCACCAGAGCTATCATTAACCTCAATTATTTCTTTGGTAAGGGCCGTTTTTAAATCTTTCGTTTTCCTGGGTTTCCTTTGTTTTGCCTGCAAAATGTTGAATATGCATTATTTGTTAGTCTTTCAATCTAATATTAAAACTTAAACAAATGAACTCATTGGGAATAAGGACTAGGTGCGAAGGTGCTATGTAATTTACCTGAGGTAATAGATCATAGGTCAAATAAAAATGGAGATTGTTCTGCAAAGGATGGAAACAATTTTTACAGAACAGGAAATTAGTATGTTAGAAGGGAAAGACATATAAATTAATATCTTACCACTCCAAGTTTTTGATCCACTTGTTTTTTCAATATTTTTAATAAATATTCACCACGTGTTTGAAGACGTTTAATTTGTTCCTTGCTACCATTCATCAATATTTTATCTCCCAATTTCAAATTTTCATCCATTTTCATCGCTTCCCAGGAGCTCATCCCATGTAGATAAATTCCTTTTAGAAGCCTCGTATCATCTTCGATTGTCCAATCACAATCAAAATTGGCTGGTTTAACCCTAGAATTTGATCATGAATAAATGTAGAAGGTTCGATCAAACTAAAATGTTCTCATTATTTAGTTGAAAAATATGCAATTCAGAAATACGCACTTGATATCTAACTGCCAGTTAGCTCTTTGCTCTGGATCAGATGGAATTGCCTGGTCTAAAGGTTCAAGCTCAGTGACAGCAGCACTGAAAGATTTGGCGTTAACCATAACACCGCCTAATTTGAAAGTAGGTCCTTTGCGGCGTTTTCGACCAGGTCCTTTGTTTTCATCTTCTTCGGCTTTAGCATCTTTGGTGACGTTGTTTTCCGATTCTACAAGGCAATTTTCACACCGAATACGCAACTGTTCTGCCAAATAAGATAGCTCAGACATGGGCTTCTCGTTCAATTCAGCATCAGCCGCAATGTCATTCAGTCTCTTAGCAGGCGCTGGGAATTTTTTATAACTCTTAATGAATCGTCTTATCTGTAAAAATTCAACAATGAGTTATTTTATCAAGTAAACAGTTAAAGAATTTTTGTTTACCTCCACGTCAGTAAAGCTCTTAACGTTTTCTCGTGGCTGCGTTCGTGGTCGACCACGTTTTTTTGGTCTACCGTCATCACTTCCTTCTTCATTGCTTCCTGAGTCTTCATCATCATCACTCTCCTCGTCAGACTGAGGTTTCTTTTTTTTCTTGCCTTTACCTTCTCCTGCATTGATTTGTTGCAAAGTTTTTCTACTTCTCGGTGGAAGATACAAATCTTCCATTTCTTTTGATCTTTCGGCTTCTTCCACCTTTTGTCTAAAATTTTCAGGAATGATTTCCGCCTGAAAATAGAAAGAATGTAATTAAATTATGTAAATATAAACACGTGCAACGTTGCGGATATTCAAGAAAGTGGTGCAAAATAATTATTTAAATAGGTAATTACCCAGTCTTTGCTTTCGTCGTCATTTTCTGGCAGTTGAGGAACAGGTTCAGTTTCTTCTTCAAAAGCAGCAAAACTGGCAACTTTAAATGCGGAAAGTAATTCATCTCCAACTGTCGCTGGACCTTCATCTCTAGTTTCGGCTCTTCTTAAAATTTCATCGATATCACACTGAAATTACAGTAAAAATTAAAGGTATTATAAATTATGTGCTCTGCTAGATTCTTATTTGCAATAATTAGTTAGCATACAGTAGGTTCTTCATCGTCATCTTTTTCGTCTTTGAATAACTCTTCTGCTCCAAATTTTAGAATAGCATTTAAATCTTCTTTATTGAATGGATTACTGTTAGAATTTGAATTCTTTTTATCCAACACAGTTCGACCTGTAGTATCCATTCGTTGTATGACCAAATGATCCAGTACCATTTTTTGCTTAGCCCGTTCTACAATATCTTCTTCTACTGAACTTTTTGTTACAAGGCGATAAATGTTCACCTAGAAAACGAATTTATAACGATAATTTAAAGTTTTATTAATTTAATATTTCAGCGATTAAAATTAATTAATATAAATAAATACCTGGTTTTTTTGCCCAATTCTATGAGCTCTGGCTTGAGCTTGTAGATCATTTTGAGGATTCCAGTCCGAATCAAATATAATGACAGTATCTGCAGTGGCTAAATTAATACCAAGGCCTCCAGCTCTTGTTGAAAGAAGGAAACAAAAGTCTTGAGAACCTTCCGCATTAAAGTGGTCTAGAGCTTGCTTTCTAAGTTCTCCTTTAATGCTACCATCAAGTCTTTGAAAAGGGAAATGTCGTTTTTGTAAGTATTCACTAAGAATGTCCAGCATTCTAACCATTTGACTAAATATTAAAACTCGATGACCAGTTTCCTTAAGTCTGACCAAAAGTTTATCCAACAGAACGAGTTTTCCAGAACCCCGAATCAATTGTTGAAGATAATCTTCATTATTATTTCTATGTTCATTTTCGTTTGGTTTAGTTAAGAATGCATGATTGCAGCATTTTTTTAGTTCTATTATAATATTCAAAAACGTTGAAGTTGAACCTTTATTCCCCTTTCTTAGAGCGTTAAAATTTTTCGTTAAAATCCATTTATAGTATTGTTTTTGTAAAGAAGTCATCTCGACTCGTAGTATTTGTTCTACTTTGGCTGGTAAAGATTTTTCAACGTCTTTTTTTACTCTTCTTAGGATAAAAGGTTCTAACTGCTTGTGCAATTTGGAATACCCTTTTTGAGCAGCATTATCATGCTCTTTTTCAAACTCTTCCCACGAATCAAATCTAGAATAATATAATTTAAATTCATGAATCATTCAGTTCAATTCATAAATCACAATTAATATTTTGTAACGTAATTAAAAAAAGAAAAACATACTTGCTTGGCATAATAAAATGTAATAAAGCCCACAATTCTTTTAAACTATTTTGAAGTGGGGTTCCCGTTATGAGAAGCCGATGATTGGTAGTAAATTCTGATAATGCTTTATACAAAAGGGAATCATCATTTTTTAATCTATGAGCTTCATCTACTAAAAGTGCAGCCCAATTTATAGCACCTAGAAAAGCTTTATCTTTCAGAACAATTTCATACGTCGTTAATATTGCATTGAATTTAAGTCTTTTAGAAGGGTAACACCATTCGTAGTCTCGAATCTAAGAAAAATAATTTATTATATAACTTTTATTAAAAATGTTTAAAACACGTTAGAGATAAATCAAGAACATACCACATTACGAGAATGAACATCACCCAAATAAATAACAAAATTCATATCTGGAGCCCATTGGACCATTTCTCGCTGCCAAGATGTCATTGTGGATAAAGGAACAACTAATAAGAATGGACCATGCAATTGTTGTGCATGGAAAAGGTAATTGAGAAAACATATTGTTTGAATTGTTTTTCCAAGGCCCATTTCATCAGCTAATATCACACTAGAATCAGAACATGTTTAGAAAAACTTTTGTAAAAACTTTACCAATGAAATGGAAAAGTGCATTTTTAATTACATAATTTAATTCATTTACCTATTTTCTTTACACCATGAATGAATCATCCAATTTAATCCATCCATTTGATAATCTCTCAGTACATAATTCTCATCTTTACCCATATAACTAGGTTGTTCTTTAAGTTGATGAAACTTGGGTCTGTACCTCAGAGCTTTGCAATGTTTACTTGGAGTTCTCTTAGAATCTTCACGGTCACGAAACTCTCTAATTTTTTCAGGCCATTTTTTAATTATAAGAGCACCGTCTTCCCAAGTAGCTTCTGAATATGGTAAACTTTCCCATTTACAGTAGTAATCCGGGTTGTTAGAGTCGGGTTTATCAGCTTCAGCTTAATATGCAAATAAATTTAGTATAATAAATGTAATAAATTAAAACATCACCTAATAAACTATATAAAATTTATACCGATAATTCGTTCTACATTATAATAACTCTTTAAAAGATCTTGCTGTAGCTCCAATTGACATTCAAAGTAATCTAAATCTTCCGGACCTGCATACTTTTTCCAATCTCCAATGTCTTGCTCACGCTTGATAAAATTTTCTAATTTTTTCAACCCTTTCACCTAATTATTATAATAAGTATTATTTTATTACAAATATTTTCCTTTAAACTTATCATAAAAATAATAGAAAGTTGTTACTTTTTGAGCAGCTAAAGAATCTTTGGATTCCCATGTGTTGTGAATATGCGACCAGCCTTTCCATTTAATCAGGTACTGAGTTTCAGTCTCCACACCTACTAAATTTTCTGGGTTTGGATCTCCATTCTCTTCAACTGCATAAACAGTGGTAACATTCCCTACAACTATTAATCGTTGTTTCAATATTTATTGCAACATTGAACTAACGTTATTATCAATGTTAATTATACCTCCTCTTTTACCAATTCGTTGACCAAGAATGCGTTCAATAGTTTCTGCATTATCCGTTTCTGTTTGTTCTGGCACAGTATCATCTACTTCCATAAGATCTTCACTATCAGTTTCCGCTTCGCTTTCTTCCTTATAACTCACGGCAGCGCCAGTTCTTCTCGTCACTTGTCTATCATAAAATGTATGAAATTATTGATAAATAAATTTTGTTAATTGAGTTGTGCCTGTAAACACTAAATAATTTACGAAAAATTGTGAACTCAACAAAACGCATCAAAAGAATTTTAGATGTTATTACAATAATTTAATGATAATATCCGGTAAAATTAAAAATATTACAATATACCTTTTTTCATCACTTTCGTATGAAGAATTTTCCGACGATTCTGATATTCGCTTTTTCCGCGCTTTGGCCTTTTCCTTAGCCTTTTGTGCAGCCCGTCGATTAATCGACTTACTAGGCGGTGGTCGTTTGACATCTTCATTATCAGACTCAGACTCTGAAGATTCTGAGTTCCACGTATTGCGAGAACTGCATGAAAAAATTATTTGAATGTTTTGAAGTAAACAAATAATAAAAATAATTAAAACTATAGACTTAAACGTATCTTAAGTTTCTTATAGTAACTTATTTTTTTTTTAATTATTTCTTTATTTGAAAATTCATAAAAGTTCGTTATAATTTTAAGCAATTCATCATAATTCCAAGCAGTATTACAATTAACAAATTATTTTTTTATATTATTATTTCACAAAACTTTGTTTTTGTTAACTGTGTTAGGTGATGAATATAAAGTTCGATTTTTTTACAAGTGCACTTACAACTATGATACGTTTCTTGGAAACATAAAACAATTAATCAATTCAAATAACAGCTGGATTGGATTAGTTCAATGAAATTTGAATTTCAAACACATACAACATAAAGTGAAATTAGTAAAAGCAGGTGGTTCAAGCTAGCCTCAATGTAGTGCAAACATAATCTTTTTCCACATAATACCAAAAATTTATTGTAAATGTAGCTCGTTGCAAATTTATTTTATCCATTACTGTGGAAATGACTCTTTTTGGTATAAAAAATACATTAAGAAAACTTTGTTGATCTTTTATTTTATCTGAGTAAAATAAAAAGTAATAATTTTCAATTATTTATACTGTTAGTATATAATAATTATACATAGTTATTTCATTATATTTATTGTTATAAATCTTTCATGTTGTACTTTTGGTTTAGTTCTCATATAAATATATTTTTACATCAGGAAAAACTTGTTTGTACATATATGTGAATATCACATTGATAGGTGAATGAAAATATGTACGTAGTGTGAAATGATGTATATTGTAAACCCTACCTACTTAGTAACTAATAAATTTTTAAAATAATGAGACAGACAATTAAGTACACTCTCAATTTTTGGTTTATTGGTGTGATGCTATTTATCATGAAATTAACTGAATTGAGAAAAAACTAACCTTTTTGAAAGAAATATAGATATTTATACTTAAGTTGATTTTTTTTAAATAGCTACATGTATGACACATGTCTCTTCCTTACCTTTTCGGTTTAAGTTTTTTTCTGCCATCGTTTTCACTATCTGGCTGAGCTACTGTAAGTCTGTCTGGTTCTTTTCTGGAACGAGCGGATCTCCTGATGCCATATATATCAGGATTCTCTTCCCATTCACGACTAGAGTCGCTTTTACGCCTAACTTTTACATCTGTGCTGTGATTAGAGCTTTTGCTTTGAAAGCTATCACCTTGTGCAGGGACATCTGACTTATCTGACTTTTCGGAATCAGAGCCTGAGCCTGAACCAGAGGCTGATGAGCTAGAGTCACTGCTTTAGCAGTCAGACAGTTGTTTATTTTACTAATTATTATGTATACTATTAAACAATTTAAGAAATTCTACTTGCTCATCTTATTTATTATGTGATAGATATTTTTATTGAAAATTTTAGAAAACATGTTTATATATCAATGAAAGCCTTTTATTCCTACTTTCCTAACCTTATAGCTTCAAAAAGAATAATTTTTTAATTTTAGTAATAAAAAACTACTTGTTTAAACATTCTCTTATGAGGTAATGAACATGGCATTTATACATATTAATACTGAAGTTCATATGACTAACAATCATTTTGAGAAACTCTTAGTATCTTATAATTAAAAGCATATAAGCCAATAATTTATTTATTTGTTTAAAATAAAATAAAGGATGATCTTCAATGTTCATTATAACAATGTTTGTAAGTTACGATTATTATATTGCGTTCTTTATGATTTTATTCTTGTTGAATTTTATGTACACTTATGTAACAGGACATTATTAGATGAATGGAAAAATAAATGAGGTAAATAGAAAAGTTCTCTTACAGCAATAGTGATTTGTGAGTATAAGCGCAAATACAAACAAGTTTTTGAACAAACTTGCAACAATATAACAAATGTGTTTACAGTGTTAGTTTTTAAGCCACACCATTAATATTGAAATGATATTTTAACTTCAGGAAACTGTTAAAATATTAGAATTTGGAATCTCACAATAAATGTTCAATAAGAGTTATAAAAACCCTCTTACTTTTTAAACTTTGTATACTGCGGTTGTAAGTAAGTTTTACATGCAATAGAACACTTACCTTTCAGATCCAGAATTAGATCCTGAATGACTTCCAGAAGAACTGCTGTCACTTTTGCTTTCATTTTCATTATCAGAATCTGATGCAGATTCTTTACCAGATTCAGAGTCTGTTTTCTGAAATAAAATGTTTTACCGATATAACAATTAACAAGGTAAACTATATACTGTAAGATTTAACTGAGGTGTTGATTGGAATAGCAATCTTTATTTCTTATAACTTGCTACTACAAGTTATATAATCTCAATTTGAACAATGTAATTTTTCAATCATACATTTATATATTTTTTAGGGGTGCTAATCTGTGGTATTCTTTTCATATTCAAGCATAATATGTTAACTTACGATTGGAATACATGAAGCATATTATTGTGAATGAATTTTTACATCCACCATTTTATTTCAATCATATCCACCATTTTAAGAATTGCTTTTCTTAAGATTTACATGAATTTTGCTTTTATTACATAAAAGAATAATTTATAAGGAATTCTGATGCAAATAAAATATAATGAATTTTTTTTCATAATTACAATAAAAGGTGATGAGGTTTGAGGATTTTTTTATGTATTCAGTACAATATATCACAAAAATTGTTAAAAAAATATTTATTTTTCCCCTAATATTAATACATTTCATTCATATTACCATATAAAGTGAATTAATAACTATGCTGTTAAAATAATAAAAATAATTTAGCATAATTTGCTATGTATCATAACTAAAATAGTTGTCTTTAAGCCTAAATATCTTACTTTAAGAAATATAGTACACTAAGGTGTAATCATGAGATGAGATTAAAATAATTATTGTATTGATACAGATTTATTGCAAACCAATCTAGTGTGCTGATGGCTTTTTGATAAAAACTAAAGATCTATAAAATATATTGAATTTGAACAAATAAGAATACATTTTTTAGCAAAGACAAATAATGTAAATAGCTGTTTCAATTTTTAATTTTATTTAAGTTCATAATATCAAATCAACTTTTTTGTAAAAAATAACTTTTTTATGGTATTTATAAACATACAGTACATATCTATAAACAGATACAGTACATATCTATAAAAAAATGTTTCCCCATATTACATTCTTCAAAAATTTATTGTCACATGTACAATGTCTCTTTCTTTCACATTAAATTTATTATTAAGACATACTGAATATTTTTCTCAAGTTAATAAAAATAGCTCAGTCTATTAAGTCTTTTATAATTTTTTGAAAGCTCATATTGTTGTAAAAACATTTTTACAAATCATTTAGTGGATGTTCCAAATGAAATACTATTTACAAATTTTGTTGGTAAATTTTATTCAACATAAAAACTCTAATATTAGGGTGTTATAAAGAAATACAAATTTCTGAAAAATGTAATGATGCTTGTTAATATGAAAAATATTGAGGTTGTTCCATCTTCAAAATAATGTTAAATATGTCAAAATATGAAAATCCAATAACAAAAGTTTTCTAAGAAGTATGATTTTGGTTGAATTAAATTAATTTATTAAATACAGAATATATGAAGCTGAAAAATATTTATAACAGTGGATTGTCTAAATAAGAAATATAATTTTTATAGCAAAATTGATGAGAAAGAACATTTCTACTAAAATCTTACAAAAATGTACTATTAGATTTCAAAAGTCACTGGAAAAAAAAGATTAACTTTTATGATTTTATTGAAAAATCATTTTGCCAAAGCAGAATATAATAAAAATGATGATCGATGATATTTGTTTGATTGTGCAAGCTTAACTTTGAACTAAATTTGCAAAAAAGGGTCCGGACAGAATTTTGAAATAAACATTTCTCTTAGAAAGATAAAATGACAATGAATAGCCCTGAAGAGAAATTAAGGTGGAACAACAGTTTTTAAGGGATAAAATACCCCTTAAACTAGAATGTAAACAAACTTTTAGGTTACTTCAAGCATGAAACTCTGAAGAAATGTGAAAAATTAAAGAACAAGAACGAGTTATACTTGAGCTCTGGTGGACTCTAAGACAACGCCCTGCACACGGAAAATGTAGAAAAGGTATTCCCGTGATTTAAACAATTTTTAGGGATTCTTTTCTCTTGTCAAAAGCCGGTAAGACACTCAAGTCCTCTCATTTTTATCACTGTTCTAATGCAACACCTCTTGCCAAAGAAAACATTTTCGCGGCCTAACATTATATAAGAATTAATTCGTTCAAAAATGTAAAAATATTTATGAGAATACAATAAAAACCGAAGGAAAATCGAAAAATCCATCGGACTATCCAAGCTCACTCACCTGCATGATACCCCCGTGTACGCGTCGCAGAGTCGTCAATCCAACATGCGGTTTGTGAGTTTAATTGCAAAAATTACTTCGAAATATCACGAAAACGATTAAAAGTACTGAATTGAATAACAATTAGTGAATTAAAGTAACGCGGCTTCGCGACATATCGCGAAATTCCTTCAATTTTCACACACTAAATGCTCACAGGCTTGAGCGTGGCTGCCATTTTGTGCCAGTCGTCTCGTTCACGATTTCTCCTTCCTTCCTTCTCTCTCTCTCACCCCTCCCTCCCTCTCGCTTTACTACTCCCCTCGATCCACAAGAATTCATCGTCGACACATCCCGTCGTGCACTGCGCGAGCCTTCTTGTTCTCATTTTCTTACCAGAGTCATCTGACAATTAATGACAAACCGCGCCAAATATTTTAATTTCCTGTAATTTTTAATTTTGATTTCCTACTGTTGCTTATATAAATTCATTGCATTTTTGATATTTTCTTTTAATAGACTATTTGTATTTTATATGTTATTCAAGTAATTTATTATATATTAACTAAAATATATTAATCTACTATTCAATGAATAAATACTTTTTCAATTTTGTCGCGAAACTTTTATAAAGCAATGTGTTGTATTGAATAATATAGAAAATATAATAGTTACAAAACAATGTATTATACAATTATTATAAAAAAACAAGCTTGCGAAGCTATTTTTTTTCAACGTGCTACTGTTGTGACACATTGTTTTCCTTAAATCGCCGCACCGTTTTTCTATTCCCATTTAATTCTTACGATTCAGTTATTATTATATTTATTATAAAAGAGACGCACAGAATCCAATTTTTTAATTTAAAAGGACCGATTATGCTAGGAGCCTTGCACTTTTTGAGAACATAAATGTACAATATCTTTAACATATTTTAATACTCGAAATTATATGAAATTTCATTTTCAATAATATAAATAAAGACAATTAAAAAATCCTCGAAATCCTTATTGTTTTAATTTGGAGTTTTGCTACGTACAGTACTTTCGCTTTGTAAAAAAAGAAAGCGGTCGAGGCAAGATAGGAAATTCCATACTTTGCTCACGAACCATTTTTTAACGTGAAGGAAACTGGGCACAGTTTTTTCTTGATATCAACGTAAAATAATTAAATGATATTTTGCAAAGCTTTTCAGAATAATTATTAAATGGCATCTTTTTATTCCATCAATTACTTAATTCCGTTTAAAAACATAAATTGTTTCGTCCTCAAGCTTGAACAAATAGTATGTTTCTCTATAAATTAAAAATAACGATTCTTTCCCAAAAAATATTATCGAGTAAATTCTGTATGTTCTAAATGTTAAATATAAAAAAAATCAAGCGTGTCTCACCAGATTCGTAATAGGTAGTCAAATTCACCATGAATTTAATTTAGATGTTCCTATTTCTAAATTTTCACGAATAACAAACAAAAAATGGAGAATCGCCGTAAATAAACGGCAGAATCGATCAAGAAGCAAATTATAAACGTGGCTTACGTAAAGTGCAACTTGACGTCACACAAGATGCGGCGTTGCCAAGCTATACAGATAATAGATTGAGTTTTGTTCCAAAAGAAAGCAATTTATCAATACCAATAAACAAAGAATCTAAACTGAATTTCAAAAAGTAATCATCTAGGTTTTGAAACGCACTAATTAAAATTTTGATAAAAAATGTGGTTTCTGTCCTTTCATTAACATTTAAACACAAAAGCATAAATTAACAAATTCATAAAAATTGATTTGATGTAAAAAGAATAGGTGTGAAAGCTTTCAACTGGATAGTTACTTTTGCTTAAACTCTCATATAAATAGATTTATTAGTTGCAATTATTTCGAAATTGTACGTTATTAATATAGTTAATTATAATATATAAATAACTAATAATTCATTAAAAATAAATAATTATAAATACCTTACATTTTTAATAGTTCATTCTATAGTGACTTAACCGTTTTTGTATTAATTTCGGATTAGAAATAGCTTAATAATTCTTTTGTACTTATGTAGCACACCAGATATAGAGACTACCATATTGTTTAAAAAATAATTATATAGTTAACAATTCTTCATAAAAAAAATGAAAACGTTAGGTGGTAAAATGGAGACTAAGATAGACTACAAAGTCTACTCGTTGAACACAGCATTTAATGACATATATACCAGAACAGATTATTCTAAAAATTTGTCAGAGAATTTCATAAAATGTGGCAACACCGCGAATAAACATGAAAATGGAGTCGTTTGAAGATGGAAACAATAAATATTTAATAGATATCGTAATACTACTAAATGCAGAAGGAAGACTGTCTAAACGCGCCGTCGAAATAATTTACCTCCGCGATGAAAGTACTTTAGCAGGAGATTGTACTAGCAGGCAAAGCTGGTTAGTTTGTAGTTTGTCACGATGATCATCCTCGACGTAGCAGTGATAGAAATATGCGTCGTTCCGAATCGTCGGTCGAAGACTGAATTCATTTCGATCAAGCAAGTCTCCAGGCCGACAGACTCGGACAATTTTGTTGGATAGCAGTGTAGTATGTACTGGCCTCATTGCGGAATTGCCTTCCAGGGTTTCGACAAGCTGTAAACCAGCGCAATAAAGACCTTAAAGTTTTAGATGATAATTATAAATCCACAGTGCTCCTCGCGTCTGCGCACCGGAACAAAACCGATGTTACGACTCCACTATCGAACTCGCTTTTCGATTTATCTTCTTCGCTCGAAGCTCGAAACTTACATTTACGTTATTTCCGCTCAAATAGTCATTGCTCATGACAGTCCACGAACTAGTCACTTTGGGAAGTTATTTTACTTGCCGCGTAATTCAATTCTAATCTTTATTTTTTGTGACCAATTCTTTTTTTTGTAACTGTCTCCTGTTTCAAAATACTTGTATTATTATTTGTTAAATTTTGGGAAAGAGGATATATATCTAAGTGAGCAATGTAATCATTCGATTAAATTATATTTGGAAGTTTTTATTTTCATTCGGAAAGATCCTATGAAAAATAGATGGATTCAACAGAATATAATATCTGATATGATATGAACTAAAAGAATACAAGAAATGATGATAACGTATTTACAATTGACATACTTTATCTGGTACATATTATCTTGTATATGTATGTACAATTTATGGTAGCTTCAAGAGTATTTGAAGATTTTTCAACTTTCTTGATTGCCTAAAGCATCAAATGTAAATATCCTTTTCTTTTCAAGTACTTATTTCTGTAATATTACAATGTGAAGTCAACTAAAGAGTTAAAATTTAAGAACGCAGTTTTAAGCCTTATAGTTTAAGAATTTTAATAGTAATAAGATAAAAAATATACCTGTAAAATGCAAAAAATGAAAATTGGATAGTATCATTAATTACAATTTATGGATATTATAAAAGAAGTCACAAAACGCTTTCTGCACAAGACCTGTTTTTTTTTCAGTCTTCATATTTGCTAATATGAGTAGTTAAATTTGATTGTGAACATTTGTGCAGTTGAAAAACACAAGCTGATTGATCATTGAAATATTGTATTAGCTTGATGAATGCTATTCAGGATCTGGTGTTTCTGATGGTTTTTCAACTATGTCTGATGTATCATTTTCTTTGGATTTAACATCTGGTACCCAAAGACCACTATCAACACATCTTTTCATATGATACCGTGCTTCATCTTCAGGCATTGCTGCAATTGTTTCTTGGAGTAGAGGAATATCTTGTGTTTCAAAACACTTTTGTAAAGGCTGGAGAAAAATAAAATCAATCAATGTACGTACATTTACAATCTAAAATATAAATATTATTATTCATACCTCTGGAAGACTTTCAAAAACTTCAACTGGATCAAGTCCTCCTGGTCCTAAACGAGCTTTTCTTTCTTCCTCTTCAACTTCTTTCATAGCTTCCTTAATTTTCTCTGCTGCTCTTTTACGAATTCTCTCTTTAAATAATCTCAGTTCATCATCAAATGAATTTTTGTATTCAATTTCGGCAATTTGTATACGGCTAAAGAATGAACTAATACAAGCTCTTGGATCAACATCTAATTGCTTTGAAAGTTCTAGAATATATTGCATGCATATGCATTGATGTGCAACGTGTTCCATAAGGTCATGTTTCTATTAACAAAAAATTAAAAATTTGCTCAAATAATAATCTTATTTTCAATTACATCATTATTTATAATATTTTACATATATTTTTGAGTAATTATAAAAATTAAATTAAATTACCTCTTCCATTTCCAAGTTTATGCACCAAACTACAAGATAATTTGCTGTATTTTCACAAACTAAATTTGGATTCGCTTGTAAAAACTGTTTACTATCATCGTATCTTCTTAACATTCCATATTCTTTTAATTTTTTCTCATTGTTTTTAACGAACTGTTTCATTCTTCTTTCTTTTTCTTCATCAGGTAATGAGGAGTCATCATCTTTTCGAGGTGGTTTTTTATTTATAACAGTTTTAGTGAAACCTTCTTGGGCAATTGTATCTACGTTCCATGGTGTAAGCTTTTCTTTTTTTTTTAGATCTTCTTCTTCATTATTGATTCTTTCTTCTTCTTTTTCCAGCTCATGTAATGCTTTTTTCAAAGTGTCCAAGTCTGGAGTAGTAATATTTTTACTCTCTAGTTCAGTAACTTTTGCTTTAGTTTCTTTTAATTTTCTTAGAGTTCTATAAAAATGAATCATTAGATATATTATTCAATGAAATTTTTTAAAATCTGATAAAATAAAATTCCAATCACTTACTCTTGCTTTTTCATTTCATGCTCTTGCTTCTCTTTCTCTCTCTCTTCCATTCTTTCAAGTCTAGCTTGATGACGCCATCGAAATAAGGATGGAGTGTCAATATTGGGATGTGTGTCATCTTCATCATCTGAAATCTGTTAAAAAAAACTCCATCATGTCCTTGAATTTTAAATTTATGTATAGTTATCAAAAATCAACTATAGATAGATTCAAAATTCTTTATTATATTATATTATATTTATTATATTATACGTAATTATTGTATTTATTGCATGAGATACAACAAACCATATTAATAAACTAAACAATCAAACGTTACTTAAATAAATTAATACCTATGAGAAGTCTAAGAAGTCAGAGTTGATAACGATAATAAATTTGAATTAATTATTGTTATCAAATAAAGCTGAATTTGTATAATGAACTTAAAGTATAAGAATTTAGAAATAGAACTAATTAAATGAAAATGTGTTGCAATTAATCTTTACATATTTGAAGTGGCAAAAATATTCTTAATGTTATGTACATTTAATGAGAGGTTATGAAAAACAAATTATTGAACCAATAAAGCAGCTGACGATTTTTATAAATGAATTTGAACAATGATGAAAAAATATAACACGTGAGAAAAAATTAATTCAGCAAAATTAAGCAACATATATTGATTTTCGGAGAATATTCGAGAACATTCTATATGTCACAGCAGAAGTTTAAATAGTACGTCCAAATTATTTATTTACCTCAATATCTTTCCATTTACTGTAATCGACCATTTTTATCAAATAAATATACTGACGAAATCCTTTTCAACCAATGAAAAGTTTATGGTAGTTTATTCCAAATAAACACCGGCAGAGGTTTTTCGACGATTATCCACTGGCACCATTCAGTTTTATATATCGAAGGTATATAGGTATATTCGCAATGCGCGTGCTTTGCGTATCTTGGATAGTAATTCGCAACCCGCGAAGTTCAAAATCGCAATTATTTTTGATAAATGAGCACAAATGACACCAAACGAGTCAGACTTATTTTGTTAAATTATATCCCTACAACTTTCTAGAAAACCATATTTGATGTCATTGATACTCAGTCATCGAAAATAATTTGGATTTTGAACTTCGCGGGTTGTGAATTAATGTCCGAAGAGAATATACAACTCAACAATTAGCTCCGCGAACCGTGAAATTTCCTTATATAAATATATCAATTAATATATTTTAATACGTAATATAAATTATAAATCTGCCAAAAGATGCAATGCGTGCGCATATGGACTTCATGTGTCATATGGGCTGTCTCCAATATGTTCATATATACATCTTGTAAAATGCATTTGGAATTTCAGAATCGGTATTCAATATCACATTCCCGTTTCACTGCGGTCAGCAATGTCAGTTAGTACATGTGCTTATGGTGTCTACTGACTACGTATTCAATGATGTGATGACATATACAAGTATACTCTCGTAAATAATTTTAAAACAATCAAGAACTCTTATAATTGATAATGGTTAGAATACCGTGTAAACAATTTTAATCTCTGTATTAATATATTTATTTCAAAGTAAGTTCTAGTTTCTGGTTTACATTGATATTTATTCAGGAGATAAAAATCCGACTCATACAATGATATTACTTAGATGGTGTCTTTTACGTCATTCTTCTATGGAATACTAATAGCGTCTGTTACGTGGGCACTTAGTCTATACATGTATTCACGCTTATCTCAAAATGACAATTTTGCTAATCCCACAATGCTCATATCTGATATGCCAAATTCCCTGAAAGAATCTACTTTTGATCAACGATCTAGAAAATGGTTAGATAATTCGCATTACAATAGCTCATTAATTTGGCTTAAAAAATCTATTAATAAAGCAAACAAGGATGCTGTTTTAGGAAAAGATCAATATGATTTCAAGTTTAAAAAAGAATATATAAATAGTGAAAAACTACTCCACCAATTAAAACCAGTCCCTGTAAAGCCATCAGTTACTATTGGCCAAGGTAATTATTTACTTTTATTACATATTGATTTCAAGAATTCAAATGATAAAATCTTAACTTTTATTTTTTTTATTTTTTAGGTCTGGATGAACTAGGAATGATTAGAAATATAAAAGAACAGAGAAAACGTGAAGAAGGATATAAAAACTTTGCATTCAATATTCTTGTTTCAGACAAACTTGGTTTATACAGAGATGTACCTGATACAAGACACACATTATGTAAAAATCAAACGTACTCATATGATCTTCCAAATGCCAGCATAATCATCTGCTTTTATAATGAGCACTATACTACATTGCTGAGATCATTGCATTCTGTTATCAACAGAACACCACAAAATTTATTACATGAAATCATTTTAATTAATGACTTTAGTGATAGTGAGGATTTACATAAAGAAATTGAAGAATATATGAAAGAAAACTTTGATGGCAAAGTTAGGTATTACAAAACTGATAAAAGGGAAGGTCTTATTAGAGCAAGAATGTTTGGAGCAAAAAAAGCTACAGGAAAGGTTCTAGTCTTTTTAGATAGCCATATTGAAGTTAATAAGATGTGGATGGAACCTTTGTTATCAAGAATTGCATTTTCAAAAACTATAGTACCCATGCCTATAATTGATATTATAAATGCTGATACTTTCCAATATAGTTCAAGTCCTTTAGTGAGAGGAGGTTTTAATTGGGGATTACATTTTCAATGGGATAATTTACCAGAAGGGAACTTGAAACAACATCAAGATTTTATTAAACCAATCAAGTATGAAACTCATATTTTTATTAGTTCTGATACTTGATATGTTTTCCTATTAATAATTATGTATATTCTAAACAAATAGATCACCAACTATGGCAGGAGGCCTGTTTGCAATGGATCGAAAATACTTCTTTGAATTAGGTGAATATGATGCAGGAATGGATGTCTGGGGTGGTGAAAATCTGGAAATATCATTCAGGGTATATGACTAATGTTTATTTTGGACAAAATATATAATTTTAACTTTAGTATTGAATTTAATTTTTACCTATTTTAGATTTGGATGTGTGGTGGTAGTATTGAACTGATACCCTGTTCAAGAGTAGGTCATGTTTTTCGTAGAAGAAGACCATATGGAGGAATTCATCAACAAGACACAATGTTAAAAAATTCATTGAGAGTTGCTCATGTGTGGATGGATGAATATAAGAATTATTTTTTAAAAAATGCTAAAAAAATAGACTATGGTGATATATCTGATAGACAGAAACTTCGCCAAAAATTAAACTGCAAAGATTTTGCTTGGTATTTAAAGTTTGTTTACCCAGAGTTATCTTTACCAGACCAAAAGTCTTCAATTTTAAAGAATAACTGGAATAAAATTGATCAAAAAATAGGACAGCCTTGGCATTCTCGAAAGAGAAACTATACAGATGAATATCAAATAAGACTTCAAAATACAGTTCTGTGTATTCAAAGTGAAAAAGATATCAAATCAAAAGGATCAAAACTGATTTTAGCTTCTTGTTCGCGAATAAAAACACAGGAAAGTATTTATATACTGATTATTATTGCATACTATAATGTAAATTTACAATTAAACAAATTATTCGTATCTATACTGCTATTAACGACCCATATATTTTATTTAAACAAATTTCAGATGTGGTATGAAACTGATAAGTATGAGTTAGTTTTAGGACAAATGCTTTGTTTAGAAGGAAATGAAAAAATGCCAAAACTTGGAAAATGTCATGAAATGGGTGGAAACCAAGAATGGAAGCATAGTGGACTGGTACGAAATAAGGAAAACGTTATTTATTTGTTTATTTATTTATTTATTTATTTATTTATTTATTTATTAATAGTTTTCAATTCTTCTAGACTAAGACAGCTATTTATAATTTGGCAACAGGCACTTGTTTAGGAGCATCAAGTCCAACGAAGAATACACAAATATCAATGAATCTTTGTTATAACAATGATAATTCCTCCATAACATGGGAACTCGTAAAATCTAAATTGCCATTGAAAAATATTAGATGACGCAAATAAATGGAACAATGTGTCTTCTAAAAAGAGAATAAAAATATCTCAATGCTTCTATATTAGAACGACTATGTCAGTCCATTTTTATACAGTATTGAAGTGTGTACTGATTATAGTAGTCAACAGTATATGACAAATGATATTAATTGCAATGAATATAGTCACTTCTATATTCATTGTCAATATAGTGATAATTTTACAAACAGAAACAAGTGCATAATTTTTATATTAACTTATAAATGTAAAATTTTTATTGTTATCTATTTTATAAAAATTTTAAAGTATTAATTTTTACTGTTAAATACAACTGGCTGATTTTCAGATTTGTGAAGCTGACGCCCAAAAAATTTTTTTAAACATATTTTTGAGTTTTCATGAGCTAAAATGTTTTCTCCCTTTTTCCGGATTAAGTCTCCGCTTGAAATTTAATTTCCGGATTTTCCGTTTTTAAAAAAATTGCGAAAAAAAATCGGGCGTTCAGACAGCGCGCAATATGTATTGAACATTTTTCTCCTGTTTAAAAAGAAATAATATCGATAGCGGATGATAGCTCCTTATTCCCGGATTACGAAACAATTTTCCTTTTGTCGATTTTCTACCCAAAATTGAGGAAAATGTAAAGATTAGTAATATGCGGCAGTTAGTCGACAAAACAGGTCAAACATTTGCTAATCACTAGATATCCCTATGCGAGTTCTACAGTGCGTACAGTCATTGTACCCAGATAACACAGTGCCGGCACCGATGCGAAAACAGCCCGACACAAATAACATTTTATAAAAAAAATGATCACATCTCACTTACGTCTAATTGTACTTCTCGAAAAAATAATTATTTGTTATTGTACCATTATATTTCTCATAAAAAATAAAAATTATCGTTATCGATAATTCACCTACTTCTATTTATTCACATAAAAAACATAATTAAGCAAAAATAAATTCACAGAAAAATTGTACCTTCTGTAGTCTAAATTGTACCATCAGTACAATTCTATAAATTTGTTTCTAAAAGAAATAATAGGATAATTACAAATTACCACTAATTGTTACAACTTACAAGGATGTCATCCGGAAATGCACTTTGCGCAGGCGTAGAGCTTTGTAATATGTAATTATCGACTAACTGCCGCGTAATACTAATCCATATACATTTTCCTCAATTTTGGATAGAAAATCAACAAAAGGAAAATTGTTTCGTAATCGGGGAATAAGGAGCTATCATCCGCTATCGATATTATTTCTTTTTAAACAGGAGAGAAATCTTCAATGCATATTGCGCGCTGTCCGAACGCCCGGTTTTCTTTCGCAATTTTTTTAAAATCGGAAAATCCGGAAATGAAATTTTAAGAGGAGACTTAATCCGGAAAAAGGGAGAAAACATTTTAACTCATGAAAACTCAAAAATATGTTTAAAAAAATTTTTTGGGCGTCAGCTTCACAGGTCTGGTATTATGATAGAACAGCCACAAATGTACAACAGACCTAGATGCATTATGAATAGGAAAAAAAGAAGTTTGAGATGGGGGAACGGATGCTCATCGCTCGTCCAAGCTCAATCCCAGACTCCTCGAGTGTTTAAGGCCCTCGCCACATATGCGCATATGCGCGCGTACAAGGGCGTACAAATCACTAAAAATTTTGATAGTGCCAATAACAGAAAGTTACTAATATTCCTCGCATGCCCCAAACGAACACACTTACTCCTGGAAATAACGTATCATAACGCTATATTATTGAAGGTTATGATACGTTTGTTCCGGGAGTAAGTGTGTTCGTTTGGGGCATGCGAGGAATAGTAGTAACTTTGTTGGCACTATCAAAATTTTTAGCGATTTGTATGTACGTTTTTGTACGCACTCGTAAGCGCGCGTATGCGCATATGTGGCGAGGGCCTAAAACGCTGAAATTTGTGGTGACATCTAGCGTGCTTAGCGGTACTACTAACTACGTAGTCATACGATACTCAAAGCATAATTAATTATTTCAATGATTGCTTATGAAAGCATGTACATACTTGTCATATAAAAAAATGTAAAATAAATATAGTTTATAATAAGACAATAAATTAATTTTATGATTTTTAAAAATTAAAGTCTGCCTTTTCAAGAAAAAAAATTTGTTTAAATAATAAAAATGAAATTTATTTAATAGTTGAAAACAAGTAACAAAATTTTTTTTGAAGTGTTATGATGTTATGTTGTCATTTTTTAACATCAGGGTAACTGTCACATTACATTGAAAATAACCGTAACATATGCAGAACACGTATGTACTGCGCAAGGTGCACAGTCCGACTTCAATACGACCATTACGACCCCTGCATTTGGTTCACACTTTACTCGAAGTTTATACAGCCGTCCGAACATTAATTTACTACTCGAAGTCGTAAATTCAAGAGAGACTCGCGAAGTTTAATATCTAAATTATTTTCGACGTTGCGTTCGAAACCACCAATGCTAAGATGATTAATCTTTTATTCTTCTAACAATCTGGACAAGCATTGAATTATCTTACAAGCCACACGATAGAAATAACGCAAATGAATTCTCAGTGCAAATAAAGTTACTTTAGGCTTTTCAACAGTGATGTCATAGTAAGCAATAATATCATTATCAAATACTTAATTTTACTTGACAAATCAAATAAATTTAATTATATTGATCACGTAAAAGGAATGAACCTTTTTAATATAAAGTACATAATACTTACATGATAGATATTTCGTTATTTATTATCTTAAAGGAATGATTAATTCAACACCATTGTTTGTGTATTAAAAGTTATATCGATCATTGTAAGTAGTCAACTGGCTTATTTATCTTTTTTTAAATTCCTATGCAAGGAAAATAAAATTTTTCCGTAAATTACAGGTTGTTTTCCTCAATTGTGTACTAAGGAAAGATAAATATTAATACATAATTTATGTATTTTATGTATTTCATCAAATACATTGCGATATAAAATCATAAACTTACCTAAAAAAACGTTAATTTTGTGATCTTGATAATGAGTGCTGACAATCAATTATCAATGACTAACTCAATAAACATTGACCAATTGGAATATAGTTTGGTCTCAACTGCAATTAACCAAGATGTAGCAAATGAAAATCATTTGCAAACTTTAGGATTAGTTGTTAGTGATGGCTTACCTAAATTTAGATTGAATGAACCTGGTCCATCAGCTCTTGCAAGTAGCATTTTCCAACAAAATAATATGGTGATCGATGAAAATGAACAGTCATTTGTAGTATTAAGTAAACCATCATTAGAATCAATTAGAAATACTTCATGGGCTAACTATATAGAATTACAAGAAAAATGTGCATCTGCCGTATGTCTCTATAATAATTTTCACAAGATATTACATGTTAAAGCAAAGTAAAATATTTGTCTTTCAGGATCTTACAGGTTTAATATCATTCATGAGTCCATCTGAAATTGAAGAGAATTTTAAGAAAGTGTTAGAAGAAAATATGAAATTAAAAGAGACTCTAAAGCAGAACAATACTACTATGAAAGAACAATTTAATACTATCACTACATGGCAAAAAGAAGTGATGACAGTTTGTGATACTCACAAACAAAAATTTATAGAAACTAAAGAATTAATGAATCGATTGAAAAAACAAAATGATGAGCTACAAGTATTATATATTTTACTATTTATCAATAATTTCCAAATATTAAAATATTAATTAAATATTAATTTTGAATTTATTTTGTAGGAACAAATTGCAAAAAATCAGTCTTCAGAGACATCTGAAGTCAACAACATAGCTAATATTTCTATTGAAAATGCTGATTCATATTCATTATTAAAAAAATCAAATTATGTCAGTATAGAAAATATTCCAATACTTTCTAATTTAAATACATGGCTTGCTAAAAATCGTTTCAAGCAAAATAATGAAGAACCATCAGAAGATGAGGTAGACCTTGAAATAAAAATGAATATTATGTCAGAAGAACTACTGCAACTAAAGCTAAAACAGTCAGAAATGCAAAAAATTATGGAAGATGTAAGCAGGCAGTATCAGACAGATATTGCATTATTAACTCAACAGTTAGATAAAGCTAATAAAGAGCTGCAGGCTAATAAACAAAAATCTGATGAAATAAGTTCATCTGAATTGCAAATACTTGTGAACGAATGTTATGAAAAATATATGGAGTTGAAATATTTGAATGAAATTATTACATCATTGAAGAAACAGTTAAATAACTATGAAGAAGATGTAAGTACTATCTACACATTATTTAACTCTTTTATTCTGGTCATGTAATTAAATTGAATTTTTTCCAATAGATTTTTTTACCTGTTAGCATAACTTTAGAATTGCATGATACTTCTGAAGAAAAACAAGTATTGCAAGAAAATATTGATTTTTACAACCTAAAGTTGTCAGAGCTGAGGAAATATTTTTCTTCTCAATCATTACAATATCTTCGTATACAACAAATTTTAAAAGAGTCTGTTGATATTATTGAATTATTTGAAAATTCAAATGATACCTTCAACAAAGATGTGAGTGAAGAAAAAATCAAAGAATTAAAAAAAAAATTACGTAATTATCGAAAAAACTTAATTGATGAGCAACTACACAGTATTAATGATAAACAAATAACTATTAAAATTCAAAAACAATTTCAAAAAATATTATTTGATTACAATTCGGTTCTATGTGAACTAGAACTTGTGAAAAATGAGAATCTTAAACTGAAGACAATGCAGGATAAAGCAACTGAAGAAAATTCACAAAAGTTAATAGAAATTGAAAAATATTTGACAGAGGAGAAGAAAGGTTTGGATAATGAAAGAGCTAATTTATTAGAAGAACAATCAAATCTTCATGCAGAAAAAAAACTTATTATTGAAGATAAAGAAAAAATTGAAATGGAACGTAAATCTTTGATATTAGAAAAAGAAAGATTTGCAGAAGAAAGAATTAGTCTGCATGAAGAAAGAACTTCACTAGATCAACAAAGTCGACTGTATGAAGCAGAAAAAAGTTCTATGCAAAAGGAAAAAATATATTTTCAGAAAAATCTAGAACGTTTAAAAAAACGTATTAAAAATTTAACTGACGATTTAGGTAATGTTAGTGATACTCTTAATTTAATGCAAAGTGAAAACCGCAAATTAAAGGATAATGTAAGTTTTTATGTTTACTATTACATTTTGTATACCCATATTGTTACGTAGTGAATGTAGTTACGGAAAAACATTTTTATTTTCCTTTCTAGGAAGAATTACTTTCTGCTTATAGAATTCAAACCGAAATGCGCGAAAGGCAATTCGAAGAAATGCGCTTAACGCAAAAAAATCTGCAAGACCAACTGCAGGCACTTTCACTGGTAAACCTTCGTAGAGAATATGAAGGTTTTTAATTAATAGTAAAATTAACAAACAGTAAGTGTTTAACAATCTTATTGTAACGATTAGGTTAAGATTTGATTTAAATTATGGGCTCTCAAAAGTCGCTGCTAGTTTTTAAACGAAGCTTGGCGACTGCTAAAACTTGAATTCCTATAATTTTCTAATTAAATAATGTTGTTATTTATTATATAATATTATTTAAACGATGAAGACAAATTCTATTTAGTAATTAACAGTATTTATTATTTTGTATGAAAATATGAGTGATTTCACATAAAAAACTATCATTATTCAGTACTATTTTCTTGATTTTTTATATTGAAAGTACGCTTTAAGTGATACATTCTTCTGTAACAAATTTTAATATTTGTGTTCACTTTCATCCACGTTTGTAATATTATTTTATATTTTATCTAGCTTGGATATGTAAAAATCAATTGTACATCTATTACACAGATTCATAAAGTTAACGATATCGATATACTTTTGCCGGAGAAACTATCCCTATGTATTTGTTCGACGTTGAATTCAAATCCGAAATAAAATTAGCGGACCACCAAGGTATTTGGTAAGAAAAACGCTAAATTATGTTTTTTGTATTTATATGGGATTTTAAACTTTATGCAAAGTAATCGATTACAATCGACTTCAACGGACTGTTGAAAAAGATTTGTGTCATTCGTTATAAAATATATTTAGAATACATAATATGAAAATTTATTTATTACAATTTAGTTTTTGTTATTTAACCGAATTTAGTGTAGGCTGAAATAGTAAATTTTATATTATAATCTATTTTATTTTCCTTCGAAATATTACTAATCTCATATACAAACAATGGTTAAGGAAAATCCCTCATGTAATTAAAACAACACTCTTGAAATTTCAACGTTTCGCCATAAATTCATGGCCTCTTCAGGAAAACTTAATTAAAAAAATTATGAACAATTAAAAACTTTTTTTTTAAACAAATCGACATGATCATAACACTACAGTACACATCCAACAATAATAATAAAATCATTCGTACTCACAACTGAAGCTTCTCAATAAACAATACTGTCGGATTATAAATGTTGTAAAAGAGATGCGCTCTTGTCATTGAATTTTATTTGTGTGATTCGAATTGTTCGGGCATCTCCGTTTCGTGCTTGACTCTGATTGGTTGTTTAATTGCTTACTATATTGACATTTCTAGTATATAGACAGTTGTACCACTTTGAAATTCACAGTTCATTTTATATCTCTGACTTTTCGGTTTGTTTCTGAATTGTAAAAATATTTTATTAATTAACATTACTATGACTTAGGTTTTCTATAGTTGTGAGTACGAATGATTTTATTATTATTGTTGGATGTGTACTGTAGTGTTATGATCATGTCGATTTGTTTAAAAAAAAAAAAAAAAAAAGTTTTTAATTGTTCATAATTTTTTTAATAAAGTTTTCCTGAAGAGGCCATGAATTTATGGCGAAACGTTGAAATTTCAAGAGTGTTGTTTTAATTACATGAGGGATTTTCCTTAACCATTGTTTGTATATGAGATTAGTAAATTTTATATTTCCTATTTCAGGTGCGTCAAAGGTTTTTTTGATGAAACGCGAAGTTAACAGCACTAGTTGGAGGCGAGTGTTGTAACGAGTTTTTGGACACTCCGTGCGGAAAGTGCGTTTTTCCCGCACGCTCGGCAAAAAACGTACGTTGAAAATCGCACTTTCCACACGCCGTATAAAAAAATACGGTACGGTACATGTTCGGGAAAGAGTTTCTCGTCTCGTGTACCATTGCACCCTCGCTTTACTCGGGCGTAAACGCTACACGAGACTAGAATCTACTTTCCCGCACTTGTATCGTAATGTACTATTATCAAAAAGCTTTCAATTAACGCAGTTTTTAGTCGTATAAGAGCCGTAATAAGCATCAAAGGTGCAATTTGGAAATTAAAATTTGAAAAAGCATATTTTAGTTGTTTTTGTTGATAAATAGGAACAAAAATGCGTCTCAATGTATTTTGATCCATATGATTCAAATAAAAGATCATTTTTCAATTTCTATATATTTCCAGAAACCATTATATCACCATAAAGAATTGTATTTTTTTCATTTACTGTAATATAGTCAAATGGCTCCCTAGACTAATATCGTCAAAAAACATGTCACTTTTTTCTGTAGGTCAGAGTAATAGTTTACCATTGATTTTAGCACTTCTAAGGTTAGAAAGAAAGATATCATAAACTTAAGTACAGAAAAGAACACAAGTATTTTAATGAAGCGTATAATCAATATGAAAGCTCAAGGCATGGTATCGAATTAAATACTTTGTAGAATTCGTAATATATATTAAAGTATACACAAATTATATACACTTATATGTTTCATACGTTCATACTTTCAACTACTACACTGAGAGAAATAAGGTAGTAACATCTACATTTGTAGTAAAATTTACGATAAACTGTAATACAGTTTAGATGTATCAAATTGCAGAAAAAATTACTATGTTGTACACAATAAATTTTAATAGTATCTCCAACAAATTTTTTGTGTAGTATAAATAATATTTACTATTCATTTAATAGTATTGCTGCAATATATAAATTTGTACTCTTAATATAGTAAAATTTGTTAAAGAAACCTTTTATATTTTACTTTGTAACATAGTAATATTTGTAACGGACTGTTTATATTTTATGAGTAGTATAATCAATTTTACTAATCAGAAAGAGTAAACAAATAAACATTACTTTTGACAACTATTAATTGTAGTTATTAGATATTATATTTTCGAAATCTTACTTGTACTGTATTATAGTATATTTCAATTAATTTTGTTATACTTAAATTTAATCTCGATAGTAAACTCACCTAACCTAACCTACGATAGTTCGGAACCAATCCCGTGTATATATTTTGATACATCACTGAAATCGAAATTCTCTTATACAGGGTGGCCAATTTTCATCGCCCCTTTAAGATATATATATATATATATATATATATATATATATATATATATATATATATATATATATATATCTCGATTAGTAAGCTTTTTCTTGAAAAAAGTTTCAGACTTGTTTCTGAAAAGTTGTTTAACTTTGAGGGGGCCACGTTTTGGTGATATTGCATTTGACCTTGAACATGTTTTTCCAAGGTTATGTTAAGGTCAATGTTGTTTTTTAAATAGGAACACCTATTTTTGATGACAGATTTGGATTCGGCGGGAAATTTTACGTTCAGGTATTATAACATGCGTGGGGGTCCATGAAACCCATACCCCATCCCCAAGGTCATTTATTGGTCAACCTCTTGTTTTAACGGGAATCCCTATTCTTGATCAAATATTCGCATTCTACGTTCATTTCTATGTTTAGACAAGGTCATGTCTGTGGTGTCTAAATAATCTCATTCCCAAAGTCATTTTAAGGTCAACCTAGGAAAACGTTATTCGCAGTCTACATCCATTTTTGCGTTTATACAAGGTAATACGTGTAGAGTCTAAGTGACCGCAACCTTATTCCCAAGGTCATTTTGAAGTTAACCTAGAAGAATATTCAGGAGTTTCACTAAAGGGTGCTTGTTTACCGTGAGTTCCCGTACCTCTCATCGAGGTGCTTGTTTATTGTTAGTCTCCGTGTCTCTTACTTCTTATCCACGAATTGCTTGTTCAAAGTGGCCGCCATTTGCTTCAAGGTATAGATTCAAACGCCTCTAAAAATTCTCAACTGTTCTTAACAACGTTGCTCTTGGAATAGCTCTGCAAGCTTGACAGATGCGAATCATCATATCCTCCCTCATTGTTAACCGTTCTGCATAAACAACGTTCTTGAGATATCCCTACAAATAAAAATTTGACGATGTGAGATCCGATGAACGTGGAGGCCAGTCGACTGGATCTTCTCATCCGATCCATTGTTCTCCGTACGTCACGTCCAAATAATTACGAACAATTCGTGCGAAATGAGCTGGCGCGCTGTCCTGTTAGAACCACAATCTTCTTCTTTTTTCTAAATCAACATCTTCTAACATTTCTGGTAACCTATCCCTTATCAACTCTAAATATCTGTTTGCATTAACGTTTCCATCGACGAAATAAAGTCCGACGAAATAAAGCAACCGTTTACTATACTACACCATACTATTAGACTGCACCGATATTGTCTATCGACATATTTGTACCAATTGGGATTCGTATTTGACCATTAATGACAATTATATCTATTAAGTTGACCATCGCTGTAGAACTTCACCTCACCAGAAAAAAGTACAAATCTGAAAAAATTAGAATTTTCTTGTATCATTCTCAAAGCCCATTGACAGAAGTTGATACGCATAGCAATATCATTTTGTCTTAAGTCTTGGACTACGGTAATGTGGTAACCATGAAGTCTATTAAGAATAGACAAAGCTGTTGTTCTAGGTATACCAATTTCCCTTTCTATTTTTCTGCTGCTGATGTGAGGATCCAGATGGACAGCCGTTAGAACAGTTAATATGCGAGCATCCATTCTATCAAATTAACGGGGTCTGCGTCGGCGAACAAAATATTCATTTAGAGCTCGTTGAGTCAATCGCCATAAAGTTGTATGATCAGGATGTCTTCTATTCGGAAAACGTCGCGCATAAAGTCTTGTCGCTACTCTCTAACGATTACGACACTTTCCGAGAACTAGAATCATATCATAATTTCTTCGGGAGGATAGTCGGCCATATTCAAAATTTTAACTTTAAATTAGACAATTAATACAATTTTCGATAAACGATCAAAAAGAAGATGCCAAAAAGATGTCACAACAACCAAATCAATAGTAATACCGAAAGTTCACAATCTAGGATACCTAGAAAATTTATAGAAAAAAAATAAAAGATTTTCACACGAATATCTACAGTCTACTATAAATATCTTCAACAAATATAAAGAATTCTACATTGGAGACCGTGGTATGTCAAAAAACACTTTAAAACACTGTATCAAAATTTACTATGTATAATTTCCAAGTATGTTATTATTAAACACCCTGAAGGACACCAATCTTACTATAATCATTATGTTACTACACCGTAAGTTTTACCTTCTTTCAAATGGATTCGATTGCCTAGAATTTGTAAGGTATACATTGGAGGAATCATAAGTCATAACAACCGAACATTACGACCAAAAGTTGCTGACTGATTTGTTCTTAGATTTATTTTTAAAGTAGGATTGCAGGCATATAGCGATTTTCAAAATAGGATTTTCCAATCTAGGTTGACCTCGATATGACTTTGGGAATAAGGTGGGGGTCACTTAGACCTCACAGACATGATCTTGTCTAAACGTAGAAATAAACGTAGAATGCGAATATTTGATCAAAGCATAAGATTCGCGTTGAAACAAAAGATTGACCAAGAAATGACCTTAGAGATGGAGTGGGGATCTCATGGACCCTCATACATGTTACATTATCTGAACGTAAAATTTCCCGCTGAATCCAAACCTGCCATCAAAATAGATGTTCTTATTTAAAAAAAACAACATTGGCTTTGAAATAACCTTGGAAAAACATGTTCAAGATCAAATACAATATCACCAAAACATGGCCCCTTCAAAGTTAAACAACTTTTCTGAAACAAGTTTGAAACTTTTTTTTCGAGAAAACGCTTACTAATCGAGATATCTTAGTGGAGCGATTAAAATTGGCCACCTTGTATACTAATCAAGTAGCGCAATTAAAAGCTTAATTTTACTCACAATAACTTCTACTTCAATATAAAAAGAAATTTTACTACAACTTCTTCATTTTAGTATAAAAAATTAAAGTCCATAGGGTGAATGTACCAATGCCCGACATGTTAAGTGGCATCTTTGAATGCCGTTATAAATACAAAAAACACTTTTATCATATTAAAAAACTGCTTATACAATTTCCAGAAAGGTAGAATGCAAAAAAAAAAAAAAATTTAACTGATTCATTAGATTTAATCATCAATAAATTAAAAATAATATAAACGTTGAATTTGCTATTATCCGACCACACTCATCCTGATATCCGGCCACTCTAACTTTCATAGTATTTTATTTACAAATTTAATTCAGTTCAAATTAAATGATGAATATATGAATTTTAAATTAAATAATCAACATTTTAAATATTTAAATAAATCAAATAAAGCATTTTAGGTTAACATTATCTAGCCGGATAAAATGATTACAGTGCCCTTTGATCCCCTCGAAAAAGTAAATAGGCCATTATGTCCAGCACGTTCAGAAACCCCTTCTGCTAAATTTTCAAACTCCTACATGAACCTGGACTAGTAAAAGACCCCATTTTATGTTTTGGAAATTTTTAACGATATTTTGGTCATTTTTAGAACAAGAAAATAATTTCTTTTTTCATTTTGTAGAGTTTTTCAAATCCCACAAAATTGTCTGAACTAAAAAAAGTTTGGCGCCAAATCTAAATTTTTATAATGTTCGAAATATTAAAAAAATTTTATTTTCGAAAATGAAGACATACTTCACCCTGAAAAAATATACAGGGTGTTTCATTTTAATCCGAACGCATAACCTAGTAAAAACAAACGTTATCAAAAAATGACCTCTACAAAAGTTGTAGGGGTTTAGTAAGGGTTTTACTTAATAGTTTAGTAAGGGTTTCATGCAACACCGATTTATAACAAATTATTGATACAAAGTAAATTCTTTTGCAAGTTTTATTTCAATTGAACGCATTGATGCATAGTAGATTCTATTTATTTGTAAAAGTTTTTGTGTTAACGATAATAGCTATTGGATATGCATATACAATTATACATACTACTTGTAATTTATAATTGGGGTTTTGTGACATACACAAATAAATTTAAGCTGAAAAGTTTCTAGTAAAAATTTGTATTGTCAAGTATGCAAAATAATGACGACAGGACATTGGTGTATCGTTCAATCAATTTGATTAACCTGACTCTTATACATGTCATTTACTCATGATCTAGATTCATTCAATTGGTGGTGTTACTTTCTGTCATTATAAATATGTCCTCACCAAATTATTTGATATGTTTTATAACGTGAATGTCAAATTAGTATTCTATAATATTTTACTATTCTAGATATTGAAGAGGCTTTGGATTTTATATTGCTTAAATTAATACGGACTTGCATTTTATGGAGTTATTGTCATTGCAATAAACTTTTTTCTTGATAGTCAATAATATTACTTTCGTTCATAAACTTTGTTGAAAACTATTTCATCAAATTTGTCCACATACATTCTTTTACATAACAACTTTAATAATAACTTTATATCATAAACAATTTATGATACATGAAAGTATACATCAAAATAGCCAGTTTGTATGTAAATTTTACTATCATTATTGAAAAATTAAGGTGCGTTTTTACCGAAAATTCTATTTTTTGTATTTCTTGACCTAGACTTTTGAAATTTGGTATGTATATTATTCATATGATAACATATAGAAAAAAACTTTTTAAGCTATTTTGAAACTTTTTTTATGTTTACATCTCTTCATATTTTTTTTAAGGTTTATATCTCTCCATATTTAAGCCTATTTTCAAAATGTCTCTTGCGCAAACTACTTTCACCAATATAATTATTCGAGGACTTATTTTGTTTCTAAAGACTCAGCGAATAAAAGTTACATGCAATAAAAGTTACATAACCTTTGATTTACAAGTGTAACATGTAGGTAATTGCACTTCTCATGATGTAATGGTGCTAATGATAAATGTGTGATACATGTTTTTCATGTATTTTTTGACGTGAAATCTAATGGCACTATTTATTTTACCGTACAATTTGAATATACGGCGCTAGAAGCGACAAACCATGTTTTAAAGGTTTTTATGTTTTTAGGTGTTCTACCAATTT